TACTTGAATTTTATATACCACAAACTATTCCATAGCAGAAACAATTATACAACAGTTGCTTCTACACTTAAACACTCCCAGACAGCCAAAGAAATTCCCAGGACAAACCGGAAAGGCGTTAATTATTAGAATAAGTACCGAGTGGACTGCTCTACGTATAATATTTGTAGCCAAGTAGCACAAATAAGTATGCCCAACACAATAATGGATCATTAATCAATAAATGGCGTAGAAATGGTCACGTTTGAAATAAAAATAGAAAAGGAGCAGCACAGCTGACGTTTGTCTTCACACCTCGCTCTTGAAACCTTTTCAAAGGTCAAACAACATATGGGGCAAAGATACAAAGATACTTTGCTCACATGCATGCTTAAGTCAGGCTAATATCATTTTAATCGCACCAAATTAAGGGTTCAAAAACAGCCTGGCCATCGAGAGTAATTCCCATCGATCTAAGACTGCAATATGTTAAGTAACAAGTTGTAGCAAACAGCAGAAGGAGGAGTCCCCCAAATGGAAACGGCGGCAACAAAATTAGATTTTTAATTAAAATAATTTCATATGCAATTTAGATAATCGTTTGCAAAAAAAAAAACTAAGAAATATGAAAAGATGCAAGGAATAGGAGGGGAAATATCTCGAAAATGCAGAAGAAGAAGCACAAGTTTGGCTCTTTGCAGTAGCCACAAAGTCGAGGCGAAGCCAGAAGATGCCACAAAGCGATCCATATGCGATTTGCTTGCCGCTTTTTCGGCGGCGGGCATTGCATTTTTTCTTAGATACCCTGCTTTGTAATTTGTGAATGGGGTATATGTGTTGTTTCGTGGGAAATGTCACTATTTCAACGAAACTGCTTTGTCTCTCGTAGTCTACCAAGTTGAAGTAAACTTAATGAGGTTTATATAGTTCTATAGACTTAGTTATCTCTCACAATATTCAAGCTTTTACCAGAACTTTTCGAATCGAATCGAAATTTATAGAATATGCAAGGATTAAACAGAGCTCTTTTCATTTTCCCTTCATCCTTCATAATCTTTGTTTGCCTCAATCACAATAGACCCTCTTCCACACTCATTTCAAGCTCCAGCTAAACACTGCCAAAACAGAGTATCTCGCAGTCAGTAGATGCTTTTCACAACTGCATCGATTTCACTTGTTTTATATTATTTTGTGGGGCGTTTACCTGAACGAAGGCGGACGGCGCAGCAACCAAATAAAATGAAGCACATTTTTTATACAAATCGGAATAGGAGGTGGAAGGACGGCTCAGGAGCTGTGGAGCTGGTAGCAGAGGAAAAGGAGGAGGAGGAGCAGGAGGAGTAGCAAAAGAAAGAGTAGCAGCAGCAGCAGCAGCAGCCAGCTGTGGAGCAAAACTGAACTGCATCAAGATGCGAATTGCAGTCAGCTCCAATCTTCAAACCTGGGTCAGGCGCACACGCACAACAAAAACCACAACAAAAACAACAACAAAATATTTAAATTGATCATCTCCATTTAATAAAGGCAAAAGCCTGAATCCTCCAGAAACGGTTCGTGGCTCTTCTGAGCCTTCTGTCTGCTGTCCGCCGTCTTCTGTCTTATGCCTTTTACCTTTGCTTAGCTTTGCCTGCCTGCAAAAAGTTCTTAACTTAATTTCGCAACGATTTTCATAATTCACCATGAACACCACCCGGTGGTGGTGGCGGCTGGTTGGTTGCTCCGGTGGCTTTCAGAGTCGCATCATCTGCAACTGTTTTGGTAGTTCTTCGCTACTCTATCTCTGCCCTCCTTCCCCCTTGTTCCTGTTCCTACTCCTCCTTTCTACTCCACATCTCTGCCGTGACGCCCCATTTGTTCAATTTCTGCTGCTGCTGCTGCTGCTGCTACACTGAAGATGATGAGCCACACACAACCTGTGTGTGTGTGTGTGTGTGTGTGTGGGTGTATGGGGAAGTGTGTATGCCGCGCTCTGAACTTTGGCTAAGCTGCGGCAAGAGTTTCTGCATGTAATTATGGTAACATGGTTTTGGCAAGTTGCTTAAACAATATTCGACCAACCAGAAAAGGGTTGTCGAGCTTGCTGACTTTATTTTAGAGTGCAATACTGATCAAAATAATATTGTGTCATCTGCTCAACTGGTACTTGAAATTAGCTTCGTTTTCTACAATTTTAAATTAACTACACTTGATTTCTTTTTACATTATTTACTTATATATATATTTAAAAATCTGCAGATATTTTTTGTGCATCATATATCTCAACTAAAAGTTCTCAAAATGATAAAAGTAAATCATTCAATTATCCGTATTTAAACTAACTTGAGTTGATATTTATATAATTGTAAATTTATGAATTTTATGAAAAATTTGTAGTCCTATCAATCAATATCAAAAATCTCTTCTTTACCTGGGATCGGAATAAAATAAAGCCTTTATTAGGTGCTTCAAATATAACTCTAAATTTATCTCCATTTGTTTACTTAGTCAAAAATATGATATACTTTCCCTATTAGTTTTCCGAGTCAACAATATATTTGTGTTCTTCTACACATTCAATATTTGCAGTTGGTTATTTGAATATTTATTTAAGTATATAATCTGTTGATGTGTTTCTCTACCTGGCAACCCTAATGCGTACCGACTGTCGATTACTGTGGAGCGGCTCCCACTCAGACCCGAAGAGCACAAGTTGATTTTTTATTACGCGGTGTACGCCTTTCATATTAAAAGACAAGCCCTGCTCGCAGTTCAGAGTGGTTTACATAAATGAAATTAAATAAATGAACCGCACCTGAGCTGAAGACGGAGAGAGAGAGAGAGAGAGAGAGAGAGATAGAGACTGAGACAGGGACTGAGGCAGAGACAGGAGACTGGAGTCTTCAACTTGGGTCTAGAAGATTACAAATGGTTGCATTCGACTTTGGCTAATTTGACTGTCGATTTGTGGCTGCAATTTGTGCGTAGTATTTTCTATGCAATTATGAGATAAAGTGGGAAAGTGCTCATCAAATTGGAACCCTTCACAAATATAATTGAAGATTTGCAAACTGAGAAGGATAAAAGACCACCTGCAACCAGCATTGCTGTAGGTAAATAGTAAAAACACTTTTGCATTTTTCTTCGGCACAAAAGTCAAAAAAGCAAAAAGAGAAAAACTGTAAAAATGAATGATGTATGCCACAATGCGCTGATTTTATGACCTGCTGCTGCTTGTGCTGCTGCTGTTGCTGTTGCCAGTAGATTATGGCCCAAAGTCAGACAAGTCACGCATTTGGTGGCCCTGCTGAGTGTGCAAGGATCAGTTGAAGCATTTACCTGCATAGTTTAGAACAGAGTCCAGCTAATAAGAGGCCTGGCGCCGCAAATCCATAACAAATGCATGAAAAGCCGTTACACAGACAAATACATAAAAATAGCAGCAAATGGAAACAGATAGATCCTTAAACAAATAAGGATGAGATGAGGAGATCTGGGCTCATCTCGTATGCAGCAGCAATCGCTTCCTGACTTCACTTCTCAGTATGAACTACGAAGATGATCATCTCCAGACCTGACTAATGATAGTAAAACTGTTTTTCTTTCAGCTCTCTCTCTCTCTCTCTGTGTGTGTGTATCTATCTATCTGTCACACACACTTTCTACACCTTGTCCTTTGTTTTTTCGTCCTTTTTGTCTGTGTCCTTTTGTTCGCTATTGTTCAAATGCCATTAATTCGTAATGAGAAAGGTGTCGCAGGCGCAAAGTCAAAGACAAATATTACGGGACCCGCCCACTTTGAGGACTCTGCAGGTTCTGCTTAAAATCAATTAGTTCACATTCTATACGACAATCATCATCGACATCATCATCATTAATATCATCATCATCATCGTCTTCAGCTGTACTAAAAATGTAGAACGAATGTTTTAGAAGCTGCCTTTTTTCTTTGGTTTTCAGCTGGCAATTTTGAGAAGTGGCAACTGATTTATGGCGTCATCTGCGCAGCTAGCAACACATTTGCCATAATAATAATAATAATAATAATAATATAATAATAATAATAATAATAATAATAATAATATAATAATAATAATAAATAAAGAGAAATAGCTCAACTAATGTCAATATTTTGTCCTGAAGCCATTCGAACAGTTTTCAATGTTCTCCAAAAGTATGCAACAGGCAGAAGGAAACATTTGTGAACCCATAAAAAGTTAAAAAATAAATATATATATATTCTTGATCATCATAAAGATTCATGTCGATTTAGTCGTCATGTCCGTCCATATTTGGGTCACAGCAAACCTTTTTGTTTTTAGGGATTTTAATTTCTTGAGCGAAATTTGTTGCGTTCTAAAAACAGTTCCATAGCCTTTCTATTAATGCATTATATAACCGGATATATTATGGATAAACTGTAAAAGTTTAATTAAAATCGCACAAGAAACACAGATTTTATTAACCAGAACGTACTTTTCCACTGAACAAGCAAATATCAACAAGACTCCGTCTAATTTAACAGCTGTGTTGAGGGTCCCCCCTCTGTTCCTCTGTTCCTCTGTCTGTCTCTCTGTCTGTGTCGAGTGGAGCATTCTAACTTGTTATTGATATTGCATATTAATTACCTATAAAAATACAAACTTCAATGTCCGAGACCTAATTAGGCATTAGCCCACTAAACCAGATTTGAGAACGCTTCTTATCTTGTTGAATCTTTGCATTGATTTCTGCCACTTTCAGATCAAAGATAAAGATACGTAAATTCTGTCAAAATAGAAAAGAAACTTTAGATTTTTTTGGCGTTCTATGAATTAAATTGAACAAATGTTTATGTTTACGAATACAAATCGAAAAGCAGAAGGCAGAAATCTTTTGCCTGAACTTTTGTGCTATAAAAATGAAAATAGAGCAGCAGAAGATCGGGAAAGATTAGCAAAGATTCATAGCCTTAACCATCTCAAAGAGATATTTGTGAAGCAACCCATCAAGTGGAACCCATTGAGAAACTCACACTAAGCTTAGCTTAGTTTCTATATATTTTATTACCAAACGACACATTTCTTGAGGGGATTCATATCGGTGCCCAGTTTACAGTTGAAGGCCTCGCTAAACTCGACCATGTTGCCGAGGGTGCCCACAACCCTAAACTCCTCATAGGCATGCACATCCGTCTTGATCCTTCTCAACTTGGATGCCGTATCCCGACCCGAGCACCAAGTCTGTGCAAACTTCAAGAAGAACAATTGCTTATTATTCAAATTCACATTACGGAATGGCTTCTCCAGCCACCCCTTATCCTTGGAGCGTCGCTTATAAGCGTAATAGGCCATTCGAGTGCCGACATTATCCGCTATATTATCGCCCGATGTCAGAGTGCCGTTAGTCGCAATGCCCAGCAGGATAAACTTGTTGTACTGTGACTCGAGGCAGCGATAGCGTTCCTTGAAATTCCTCAAGGATGCCTCGGACCACCAGTTGACCTTCTTGCCATCGTAGTTGAACTGGTAGCAATACGAGTCGAAGCCATGAGCCATCTCGTGGCCGATAATGTTGCCAACGCCGGCATATTTGAGCACCTCGGGAAATCCAACATGATAGAATGGCCACTGGGACAGGCCAATTGTGATGAAGGCCTGATTGAGGAATTCCGCATAGTAGGCGTTCACTGTACGCGTCGGCATCAGTTGGGGTATCAGCGCCTTATCCACCGATCTCATGCGAATCCGGGCACGATTCGCTTCGAGTGTGGCCAGATTCTCGAAGAAGTCCTTGGTCATATTGAGGTCACTGAAAGCGGCATCGATCACCTCGGGATGCCTAAATTCATCCGTATACCCGACAAGGAAATCCATGGAGGACAACTTGGTCTTGGCCTCCGACCTGGTCTCCTCATCCAGCCAGGTATAATTCTCGAGCAGCTCGTAGAAGGTATCCTTAATATCCTTGGCCACACCAAGGACATCGGCACGACGCTCCTCATCGAAGAGCTTTCCTATAAACCATGGCAACAGGGCGTAGTTGAAGTAGCTCTCGGTTAGACTCCGACAATCGTTGGGTATGCTCGCATTCTTGCTACTCTGCTGCTGGGCCCACATCGCGTAGAATTTGACCAGCACTCGATGCTGGACATAGGAGCGCAACAGTTGCAAATCACTCTGCTCCAACAGATGCACCAATTCGCCCACCTGCTCCAACTGATTGAGCACCAGCCACTGACCCTGCTGACTGCCATTGAAGGCCACCTCAAAGTAATGCGTCCAATTCAAACGATCCTCCTTGTGCTGCACCAGAAATTTGTCCAGAGTCAGTTTCTCTGTTTCATTTCTCGGCTTGGCCAGCTGGGTGAGATTCCGCTCGAACTGCGTGAGATTGGCAAAGAGTGCTAGGAACTCCTTGCGTTTCAGCTCATCCGTTATTTGCAGATCCTTCGTCATGTTGAGCAACTTTTCCTCATTGTAATTGGCCAACACTTTTGTGGGTGGCGAAATAAGGATGTCAAACTTGCGCTTTGCTGTATTATAGTGCACCTTGAGGGGCAGCAGTGGGAACAACTCGTAGCTGGACATGAAATTCACATAGATCCAATCCTGAGTAATATTTCGTGCCTTCAAGCGATCATCCTGCTGCATCATGAGATATTCATAGCCCCTCGACATATTCGCCTTCATCTGCACGCAGGTGCTAAAGAATTCCTTGGCCTTCCATGCCGCCGCCGATGTGGCATTCCTCGCCAGCTGCGTTGTATTCTGCAGATAATCCAGGACAACTCCATTGATGCGTTGCTGGATGGCTTGCAGTAAGCTGGAGTTCTTTGCCTCATCGGTTAGCAGCGAGGACTCCTTCCAGTTGCCACACGCATACTCGTAGAAATTCTCGCAAGGATCAACGCTGTGATTCATTGTGGAGAGCATGAAGTTGCCATAGTGCTCCAGCAGTTCCTCGTTGTGCCTCAAATCGCTGTTGGGTGGCGCAAAAAAGTCACTTTGATTGTAGTTAAATGTTGATGGCAAAATGCTGGCCGATGCCACAACGGCTGCCTGTATTAACGTGGCCAACAGCGCGTTAGCCATGATCTGAGCGTATCTAGCCAGAAATTAGCATAAGTTTATTTTTGCCTCTTTTTTTTGGGGTTACGCGCTCGCCAACTGCCGCAAATGTTCTAAACTTCGATGGCAACCAGCTAGGCCAATTTATATACAGCAGCACGTGCAACAAAATCAGCAGCAGCAGCAGCAGCAGCAACACCAACAACAACTTCGGGGCACTTTTTCAAATACCCTGTAAAAGTTACATGTGGGTGTAGAGGGCACATTGGCTGTAAGGGATTTGATATAGTTTATGAATTGGCCACAAGTTTCTACCGTTTTATTGCACTCGGTTTCCTTTTAGAACCTTATTAATAGCGGTCCCTCAACAAAATAATATGGGTTCTTGCAGCTGGTTCTTAAAAATAATTATGAGTTACAGTTCCAATTTTAAGTTCCTTGATTTGATAATCTAAAAGAAATCTGAAGAGAATAAGCAAATTGTTTGACTACTTCTCTGATCAACTACAGGGTAACTCTCAGTTCAGCCATCAACTCAAGCTACGCTTAGCTTGGCACAGCTGACGCATTGATTTGTTGTTCTTTTTAGTTATTTATTTTTTTAGAGTTTTGGTTTTTTACAAATCCGCAGTCATTCTTCAAACTCACCACAGAAACCACAATTAGCTGCTGGAAAAATTTATGGTTGTTCTAAATCAGATTTGAAGCGAAAATCTTTGGCGAAATCTTTTTGGCTCTCTTCGACGGCAGAACACATTCTCCAATTAATTTATTTGCTGTTTCTTCTTGCTTTTGTTTTGTTTTATTCTGTTTTGTTTAAGCACTTTACCTCATTCCCTTATCACTCTTCACTTATCATTCGTTCGTTGTTGTTGTTTTTACTTTTTTATAACCTATTTTATCGTTAATTATAGATCAAAGTTGTATTTGGCCTGTGTTTGTATTTGTTTTAGTATTTTGGTCGATTGTGACATGTTAATGACCCCATTACAAAATAATAGCCGTAATTATAATGCAAAACATTTCTAAATGATTTAAAACTTTAGTTTTTAGCTTTTTGGTTTCAATTTTTCGGTTGTTTGTTCCAGCCTCTTTTCCGCTCCCAATGAAAATTGACACATTATGAAAGTAGCTCAATCGTGCTATGGACAGATTTTGTTTGATATTTGTTTCTGCGATTCAAAAATAGCCAAACATGTGTGAAGAGCACGAAAATGTAGGTAAATATCTTATATTTTCATCAGAGAAAATGTAGTAAAATAACTTGGACAACAAATAGTCCAGCTATCGTATGGCAGCTGTATGATATAGTAGTCTGATCCTGTCGGCTTCGCACTATGTACTACCTTTAGCAAGAAAACGAGTACATGCCAAGCTTCCATAAACTAGTCTTACAACTGAGGTAGTTTCTCTTAGTCAAGAAATGCTGATCATAAGTATATACCCTATGTGATCGGATTTGTTTCCTCTAAGAGATTATAACAAGATATAACAGCAATTCTGACTTGTGCATATCCTTGCATGGAAACAGACTCGTGATGCAGATCAAGAATATATATTTTTATGTAGCATATACACTGTATGAAATCGCTCATCGAAAGGTATAATAAAATATCTATTATTTGATGGGCTAACCTTGATTAGCTGCAGTTAGTTCAATTAATATGAATGGGCCTCTCTCGGCGCTTCTCATTTGTTGTAGAGTCATCAGCTACTGTTTGCCGTGTTTGCGTTAGATCATTTCATTATGATGTGTGTTAACCTTATGCATTTGAAGCTAATCGCAATTTCATGAATGAATGATAACAACAAAAAAATGAAACACCAACTCGATTTGAGTCTGTAAACCTCGGGCTAATGATGCATGGAAAATATGTAGGTACAACCAAATTCCCAATTGTGCTGACCACAAAATGCTCATTAGAGCATTAAAAAAATGAAACTGTTTGAATAATGAGTGTAGATTCAGACAACCGCAGCTACAATCTACATATATCTACATCTATATATAGCTGCGGGCTATAATAGAGTTGTGTTATTTTATTGTCGGGCACATTTCGTTGATTTATGGTCAGGTAGAACAAAGCGGAAGATTAAGGCTTAAGAACCAGGAAGTCACAACGACAAACTTTGCCACGCGGCAGCAACAAATTTCTATATATATAGATATATAAATACTTTTGGAATATATTAGTTAACATTTAAACCCCAGTCACAAAAAAGGGTGAGGCGTGTGCCTGACACGCGCTTCTTAAAGATGCAAAAAAAGGGGTTAAGGGTTAAGGTTTGAGGGGTTGACAGGATATTCGCCAGCTGCTGCTGCGGAAAAGTGTGCCAACATTTATGTACACTCAAAAAAATAGCATTGATTTTTTGAAAAACCCAGGCACTGAAAAGTATATATAAATATTTGATATTATTAAGAAATACATTTTTAATAAGTAGAAATGCGAAAAGAAATTTACTTTCTGAATAAAAAAGTGAGTTAATCTTGGACCAATATTTTTCTGAGTGTAGAAATGGAAATTAAAAGAAAAAGTGAAAGAGAGTGTAGGATTTTTTGGAGAGGAGGGGGCGTGGCTTAGCTGACTTTTAATTATGGCCGCTGAAAGGCTGTCAAAGCCGCTGAATGAATGTGTCCGTCAATTGTGAAAAGTCCTTTGAAAACAGCAGTTCGACATTTCAATGCTGAATTTACTGAAATGAAGTTGCTAAAGGTTAAAGGTGAAAGTTGAGCAGTTTCGTTTTCTTGCTGCTGCTGATGCTGCTTAAACAGTTGCCAGTAGTTGCAACATCCTGTGGCAGCTGCGGCTACACAAGCCACTGTTCAAAAAACTGCAAATTAAATCCTTTTTTCAGGCTCAATTTGTTGCAGCCGTGCGGGGCAGGCACCTCAAGGCTTAAGGCAAGCTGCGCCAACAAAGACGAAGCGGTTATCCTGTGCAACAAATACCCCCGCCCCCTCTACCACTGCTCTACACCCCTCCTCTGCCCCATCAAACATTTTTTATTTGGCGGTTTAAATCGTTCTCTCTTTTTTGGCATTGTTACATTGCGATTACTTTACCTGCAACACGGCGATTAACACGCACCCGCCGGCACACACACACACACATTGGCACACACATCCTTTGATTATCCTTGGTACCTGGTGTGTTGCGCCTCAACCTTGCCACACATCTTTTTAGCTGAGCGCCTTTATTGCTTTCTTATATGCGCTTTGATTTCTATTGCGGCAATATCCTTTATCCTTTGTCCCATTGTTGCATGCACCGGCTGGCAAACACATTAGACTTGCAACCGAGCTGAATGCAACAAAGGGGCAGCGGCAGCTACTGCTGCAATTGCAGCTAAAAGTGACAGCGTTTCCAGCGTCTAAAGATCCTTTAACGATTTTCAATTATTCCCTAATATTAAATCTATTTTTTACTGTGCAACTCCTCCCACTCACTATCTCCCTGCTTCTCGCTCTTGCTCTCTCTTTCTCTCTATATATATCTCTATTTTATTGTGCTGCCAACAGTTTGTAGTTTCTCAGTTTTTTCTCTGTAGTAAAAATCTATAAAAGAAAGATTTGAAATTGGGACCACACAAGGAATATGAACCTTAATATTTGAATATAATTGTAATAATTATTAAATTAAATAAATATGTTCCAATCATATTTATATAACACATAATATATAATATCAAACATGTGATTTTAAGACCTAGAAATCTCTAATTTTGTATGTGATTTAAATAAATAAAAAATATTATAATAATAATTAAGATACAAATGCATTCTAATATTAAAGTAACTTTCTGCTTGAACATTAGATATTTCAACATATGATTTCATAAATAAATCTCCTCATATCTTCCTTAATAGAGTCACAAGCGTGAATTGCCTCAAAAAGTAGGCGTGTCCCGGCAGGCACGCTTATCGCCTGTAACGCCCACGCCTCTTTTGAGCAAATGTTCAAATTTTCAAACACAAAACTACAAATTCTATAACAGATTGATAATCAATCAAAGTCATAAACGAATCGAATCGAATGACGATCAAAACTGATTAAGCATTAAACAGCGTTTTTTTCATTCCTTTTTTTTTGTTGGAAAATGGCGTGCAACCCCCTGAGTAACAAGGCGGGGGGTGCGGGGCAGTTTTTCACTGCTACAACTACAACTACAACTACAACTCTCTTTTTTAGATGTCATGTGCCTAAAAGGCGTTGCAATAATGATGAGTAATTGATAGTGACATAAAAGCAACAACAACTAGTTGTAGCAATATGGCAGCCAGTTTAGCTTAGGGTTGGGGTGGGGCAGGGTTGCTAAACAGGGGTTAGTTATGATGCGGCAAGTGTTGATAATGATGATGTGCTGCAACCCTTTCCCTCTCTCCGTCTCCGTCTCTCTCTCTGTCTCTGTGTCTCTGGCATTATTTGCGCCTTTTTTTGGGTGCAAAAAACAACAAATTCTCACTTCATTTTCGGTCTATAAAAATGCAATCGTTTTTTGTCCCAATTTATTGCTGATACCCTGTAAATACTCTGAATAGCCAGAAGGGTGATATTATAGAGTGAATAATTCTTGATTAGAGTTGTGGAATTCTGTCTTTAATGCTGTTTTACTGTTTATAATATTATGATTTTGCCAGCAAAAACACATAATTAAATTTTATAATTTATCAATTCATTAATTATATATTTTATTATATTATTTATTTATATGATTTTGTGAACATTAAGCATTAAGTAGAGCAATCTTGAATGCCTTACGCTTGATGTAAGTTTGCAATGAATTTAATAACAATATTAATGATATATATACACTTATATAAATATGATAAGTAAATTGAATAATAAATAGAGTGCGACACACTCCCTTTTTCCAGGGTATCTGCTAGTCATTCACGACTCAAGCTCTCTCCTTTTACTTGCTTATAGCGCTCTCAATAATACCCCTTTCTCAATTTTTCTCGTCCATTTTTGATTTATAGGCCTGACAAGCTGTCGCACGAAAACAATGCTAAATCCCTGGTATATGCGTCCCGTTGGATATCATAATTATAATAATAATAATAATAATAATACAAGCAGCAGCAGCAAGGACACCGATTTGTTGTCCTTCGTGCCACCAACCACAACAACAACGACAACAGCAGCAACAACATTTGGCGTCGATGTTGGCATGGGTTTGAATTTGGGCTTGGGCTTAGGAGTGGGCGTGGCTGGCGTTGGGGTTGGGGGTGGCGGTGGAGTGGGAGTTGCGGGGGAGTCGCCGCAGACATGTCTGCCATATTTTGGCATGGAAATGGAAATGCCGTCAACAACAACCGTCTCCGCCAAAGCACACAAATTGCTGCCCGAATTTCTGATACCGTTGCATGAAATCATGTTTCAACATCATTATCAACAGCAACGACAACAAGTTGTGGCAGCAACAACAACAGCAGGAAGCACAATGGGCACATTAATTAATAGTCTGCCTGGACTCGGAAGAGAGACATTCAACAGTGCTCCCATTGCTACCATTGCCACCAATTGCTATGCCACAAAGTCATTAACCCCGCAGCAGCAGCAGCAGCAACAGCAGCAGCAACAACACTCTGCCACACGTCCTCGCCACAACGGCGAACATTTGTTCGTGCGTCATTTTCACGAACGGGATCGTCTCATACGCGAACATCAACTGCAACAGCAACTACTCCGCGACCAGGATGAGGAACAGCAACTGGAGCTGGAGCTGGAGGTGGAGCTGGAATTGGAGTCGGAGCAACAACAGCAGCAGCAGCAAAAGCAGCAGCAGCAGTTGGAGTCGACTGGCCATCATAATCATCATTGGCATGGTGTCGTCTATGACGGCAATGGCAATGCCATGACAGCCAAGCACAACAGCAACAACAACTCCAACAGCAACAGCAACAATAACTCTAACACTAACAGCAACAACCCACAGGCGGCTGCAGTCTTGACTCCTCTTGTTGCCACGTCTGTTGCCTGCCACAAGGACTCGCATATTTACGAGCAGCCAAATGGTCTACTTTGTTGCGTGGGCAACCCTGGCAACACTGGCAGCCCCAAAGCAACAACAGCAGCAGCACCAGCAGCAGCAACAACAGCAACAACTACGAACAAAGGTAAGTTTATGGCCATTCTTGCTACTAATTGATGTCGTCTCGTGTTTTTTTTGTTTTCTTGCATTCAGCCTGCAAATATAAATATATTATATTTGATGTTTATTAAGGGTGTTAAATATAATTAGGCAAGCTTGCTTCAAGCCAACGTTTTGAAGTAAACACCATCCAACTGCATAGGTTATGCATATTCTTCTTCAAGCATGTCAAAGCTACCCATCTAAAATGAAGCTCACCTTTTAAAGCTGTAACTTATACGTTCTTTCGATTTATTCAGTATATAACTGGTTTATTTGTAGTTTAACTAACCATCTATCTATCTGCCAGACTCTGTGAAATCTGTTAGTTTTGAATTTAACTTGATAAAGTTGGGTATACATCTGAAATTACATCAGAAATGTTGCATCCCAAAATCGAATTCTTTAATTCCTTATTCCAAGTCAGCACCAGTTTATAAGTAAGCAAATTGGATATCACAACAACCTATTTTGATATAATGCTTTAGCTATGGAAAAATTATCAGTCACCCGAAAAACTTTGAATATTCTAGCTATATTATATCTATCCTTCTGTCTACAACTGAAAATTCCCTTTTTATTATTTTACCCAATACAAAATAAGTAACTTTTACTACAAGTATTCAATCATTTTTACTGCTGTATCTCAAGATAAACTCTTAGTTGATTTCCATTTGAACTAATCACAGGTGAACTTCCATTCTTGAATCCATTACTGAACTTCCCCTATGACAACCACCCCAACCAAAAAAGCAACCCCAACTTGTCCACCTCGAAACTCTCAACTCAATTACAGGCGCTTTACTTAAAAGTAGACACAAGTAAATGTCTAGGTATGTGCCACACACACAACATTCGCACACCATAAACATCCAGTTCCTCCCCCGTTTCTTCATCTTTAACCCCAAGCAACACACAAACTCCATTTAAAATCACTAAAATATTAATAAATTTTACAAAAGTGCGAACAAAATATGCGTGAAAATGCTCAAGTGCAAGCTGTGAACAAAACCTAAACAACTTTATTTAATGGAATTTAAAACCACTTTCAGTGGGTGGTTTGGGGTGGTGTTTCAATGGCTGCCCTGCGGCAACCGAACCACAATTGCATGAGGTAACCTTTGACATGAACATGCCAAGGTACAACAACAAGTAGAAAATACACCCTTGAAAATTCTAAAAAATAAAAAGGGAATAGAAAAGCTCAGCGGTGTCAATACCAACTGTGACTGTGCAGGTCCTGAGCAGCTTATGGCCAATTGAGCCAACCCACCCCCTCACTCTGCGGGTGGTGTTTGAGGTGTGTGCGTGTGTGTGTGTGCTCACAAATCCAATAAAACCGCTTTACAAGCTGTAAAGCAAAGATCATAAATCCATTTGAACTGCAACTAAAAAGATTATAGAAATGCTTTCAAAAATGGTTTACATAATGGCGTCGATTCGCTGCAGGGTTAAATTTGCATGGAGGCGTTTTCTATTTGATCTAATACAGCAAGAATGCATTCCAGATTTTTTAAATATTTAGAAAATGGAGTGGCTTTCATAAGGGTTACATTTGCATAAAGGGGTTGGCAGGGTTCCCGAGTTTGACCTAAAACTACTAATGTGAGTTCCAGGCTTCAATTTGCATAGGGGTATGTTAGAGATCATAGACCCCATTTTTAAGTCAAGTAATGCCGAGATTTTATTCCATATTCCTTACAATATTTAGAGTAAGGGTTAAATTGACATGTGGTGTAGCTTAAATCTTAGATCCCATAATTCGACTCTGCTTTGCATTAAAGGCATAGTAAAGATCACAAAATATATTTAAACTAAAGTCAATTATTAAAAACTAAGTTTTTATCACCTCTCCAAGGGGTAACTTTGTTGGAAAAATCATAAATGTAATTTTCAGCTAAACTTAGTGTCTGATTTTAGTTTAAGGTTTAACTTTGCATAAGGATTACAAGATCTATTTGATCTAATACAGCTAAAGAGAGTTTCAGATTTATTTAAAATATGAAAAATAAGGGTTAAATGTATATAAGGGGGAAGCAATGAGTACAAATCCCATTTTTAAAGTTACTGAAATATTTCATTTCAATGGCGTCACTTTTCGTAAGGGTTAAATTTGCATCAAATAAATATATAAAAAATGGCGTTAGTTTTGAAAAACTGTGAGAAAATTTGACAAAAATTCCGTTAGAACTGAAAGCAGACAAACGCTAGTTAATCAAAAAAACGGCACCCAAGAAATACCGCAATACCTTTTCTTACCCTAAAAAGAAAAGACACAAAAAATCACCCAAAAAGTGGAAAAGAAAAAATTGCATTGTTTGAAATACAATTTTTACCTATTTGTAAATTTTTCTCAATTTTTTACATTAAAAAATTGCGCATTATTGGCGTACATTCACCCCTAGAACGGCTAGCTGGTAGTTGCTTAGGGGTTGCTGCCTACCCCTACCCCTAGCCTTGTGTTTGCGCTGCAGCTAAGCTGTCGAAGATCTTTGGTAATCCTTGACAATGATCCTCAATTTTTACCCTTGAGTTTTTTTTCTTAGATTATTTCTGCCTTTTTTCTTGCCCAAAAAATAGAAGAAAAAAAACGGCGCGCAATTTTCTCAATAAAATCGAGGAAAATGCATCTTGAATATTGGGTGAATTTTTTTTTCGAAGGGTTGCAGTTGACAGAGGAGGATTTTTTGTGGCTGATTCTCAGGCAAGTCGAATTCAATAAAAAGAGACCAGAACGGAACTGGGACAAGGATGAGGCACTGCCAGGATCAGGATCATTAGAAAGACGGCGCTAAAATGCGGAAGTAAAGGCACATTTGTTGTCATTCTTTGATATTTTGTTGTTGTTTTCTTGCATTGATTTCCGTTACAATCGCTTTGGGGTTTGCCTTTGATTTCCTATCAAAAAAATCTGCGGATTTTTTACCTTTTTTTGGCGCCTTTTTTTGAGCAGTTGAGCAAAGGAATTAATGAAAGGGAAACCTTACAGAAAGGATTGGTTTTTTGGCTGAGGAGTTTTGTGGAAGTTCCGGAAATAAATGTCGATAGGGAAGCATATTTATTTTAAGTATAAACTTATAAGGCCAGAACTAAAATCCAAACAAAAAACAGTCATTTATTATATGCATAAATTGGTTCTTAAAAAAGTATTTTTGATTATTATTATTATTAATTAGTTTTATTATTTACCTCTATTCAACTCTAGAAATGTTCGTTTATTAAAATCACCACTGTATCTAAAAATCCCCCCGAAATCAACGCATAGAAAATCAGAAACTGAACAACTGCCAACTGACAACTAATTTCAATAGTTATCCTTTTGACTGGCTATCCTGTGAGAGGAGTGTCTGTGTGTGAGTGTGTGTCCTTTGCACGTAGCCTGATTAAACTTGTCACGGGATGAAACCAAAAGATAAACAATCTGCAGTTGCTGCTCTGCCAGTGTCTGCCAGTCTGAGGCACTGGGCAATTTGATTATTTGCCAAAAACAGACAGACCCAGACAGCTCTAGCCGTCGGGGAGGAGGGGAGTGAGTGGACACAAAGAGAGGCATGTAAATATGTAGAGCGCAAAAAGGGGGCAGGCAACAAAGTTCTTGGTTGAAATTAATCAAGAAAATAAACGCTTGGCAGCATCGAAAGCGACGACAAAAAGGGACGCCGCACACTTTGCATGAAACCAGAAAAGAAAAGCAAGGAAAACACAGGCAATACACTCAGAAAAAATCTAGAGTGATTATTAGAATTCTCCACACCGTATTCTTGGGATTGTCGAGTTGGAAATATGTTTTCTTATATTTAGAAATTATTTCTAAAAACATGAAAAACATATAAATTTTCCAAAAATTCATGGTGATTCTTTTTCTAAGTGCAACAGCAGCAGCAGCAGCAGGGAAAAATGCCACACAAAATGCGCAGTGGGTGGATTTTCCCCCTCCCCGGCCCTTTCTCTCTCACTCTCTCTCTCTCTCTCTCTCTCGCTCTCTGTCTATCTTCTAGTTGTTGGTGTTGTTGCAATGCATTAAAATGACATACCAATTTGCGTTAAGCAAATAAGATGAGACTAGTTGGAATTGTCTTCCTTTGCGTCCTTGTTGAGGGTTGTACAGTTGTCTGTCTGCCTCTCCATATAAATAAAGATTGCTTTAATTTGTTGTTTCTACTTTTGGGTTTCGGCTTACTTTAAGTTTGCAGAACTACATTTTTCAATTACAATATTAAAGTAAGGCTTTTAAGTGCTTTGGTAAAAGTCAGCATCATCAATCAGAAATCGAATCGAAAATGGTTTAATGAAATTTTGCAAGCCAATAAAGTATATATATTTTAGATCAAAAGCCCGCAATATAAACAAGCAAGTACTATAATTGATATTTGAACAATAATTACGCTTTATTATTGACTTTCCAATGAATTTATGGCGGATGTTTGCATAGCACTAAAACTAACAATATCATAAATATGACATATTTCTATTTTCCGATTATCAACAGAAATAGTTTGCTTACTCACTTTAAAATTCCCGGTAATTTTATCAATTTCCTGATAACAAAATAAGTTTGAGTAATTTAAATTGACACAATTAAAAACTATTAAGAATGTTTAGCTTAGGTAAGCCGAATATTGAGCACACTTCTGCAAAGATTTATTAATTAATTAACAACTAAACCTGCGCCAGTGGGAGAGCTCGATTGGAGTTGGCACGAATCCCAGCTATAAAATATATAACAATATCACCACAACCCACACCAACTACAAACCAAACAAATTAGCGCATTTTGCATTGTTGTATAATATTTAAACAGCAATTAAATAAATTATAGTTTGCAGAATGTTTCTAAAATAGATATTTTATATCAGAAAGTTCTCATTTACCAACAACCTTTTTATATAATTTATAATTAATATTTAAAATATTTAAATATGTTTTGCATTTTCTGTATTGATTTTTACACACTTTTCCATTTGCCACTTAAATCATTTTGGCACTTTAATGTTGAGTGAGAAAAAGAGAGGAAGCGAAAGAGGGGTAGCGAGAGAGAGGGGGAAAGAGAGAGGAAGTCTGTGCTGCGTTCACTCATATCCTGATTGCAGTCAAACATTAATTTTGCAGTTTTAATTAAAACATTTCAACGCACACACACACAAACTCACACACACACAGACACACACACAGACGCACTGTGAGAGGATATCCAACGGCATATCCTGCACATTTCTTAGACTTGTTCGCATTTCTTTCGTTGTTTCCCTTTTTCTTTTTGTTGTTTTTCTTGCTGTTAAACAAAAGCAGAAACAGCCGGCGCTCAACTTCAAGTTGCAGTCGAAGTTGCAGTCGCAGTCAACGTCGCTGCCGCCCACTCATAATCATAAAATGTATGCGCTGTCACCGAGGCAGCCTCAAACACCCCCACCTCCTCCTCCCCAACTCAGCTCCCTTTTTCTCTTGGTTTCTTTTTGCACACGTCGCTTGCATGTGGGAAAAAAGACTTTTGCAAGTTGCTTTGCTTCTTTCTTTTGCAGTGCTGCAAAAACTTTGCCTTTGCACCCACGCACACACACACCACGTGCAGACACACATGTATACATTTACATACATATGTGTATATTTATATACATATATGGCAAATGAGAACAACACTTGTTGTTGTTGCAATTGTGGCAATTGTTGATATTATTACATTAAATTATATATTATACAAAGTTAAATCAATTTAAATATTTTTTTTTCCTATATATTTTTATTACATATTTATATAAGCAAATAAATTTAATTACTAAATCTGAAAACTGAAATAGCTTTAAAAACAAATGCCTTAAATCAAGAATCTTAAATGAAGAATATGTTTATGGATTGATACATATTTCTTCAATAAAAAATGACAAAGTTTCTTTCAAATTATATTTAAAATTATCTCTAATATCAAAGACTATCCTTACATATAAAGAAAACTCACGCAATAACCAAAAATAATAGTAAATAAAAAAATCAGAAATTAAACAGAAAAATAACTCATTAAATAATTGTAATAAATGCAGCTAGAAAACTATTTCAATATTTATGCAGAGTAAAAGAGAAACGCAAAAAATACATATGTAAATAATGTGCCAAATATATCTGCATTCTGCTTTATTCCTTGCACTTATTATATACTATTTACACACACATACACATTTACATATATATATAAGCTCATTTACTGGCACCCAATAAGCTCAGACACCTTTATGCGCTCACTCACACACACACACACAAGCATTCTCACACACACACAAGCAATCTTAATTATGATCTATTTACTTGAGTGCAATGCGAGAAAGCAGAAAGAATATGCAAAAGGAACTACATTTGTAACGGCAACTGCGCAACACTGCTCTGCATGTGCATACACACACACACACACACACGCATGCACATGCACAGTTAGCCACACCCATTTCACTCAAAACAAAAAAAAACTCTATGCTAATGCATAAGGGAAATTGTGCATGGGTAAGAAGAAGATGCAGCTAACAATGACAAAAACACACAAGTCTAATCAGAATGCAGGCCGAATACGTTCCACAAACTCAAAGTGCGCTCGCTAACGGTGCCAGGGTTGATCTACTTTTTTGAGTTTGAGCAGAGAGAGAGTGAGTGAGTGAGTGAGAGCACCTATGAAACTGAGTGCAAAGCAACAAAGAAAACTAGGCAAGAAGAAGAACAACAACAACTCCTGCTGCTGCTGCTGCAAATCATAAAGCATTCACTCACACCGGCACACACACAGCGACAGCAGCAGCGGCAGCAGCAGTGCTCGCAACTGCTGCATTATTTTTGTACCGTTTGTCGTTTCGTCGGTTGTCAGTTGCATTCGGCAAGCGAACGAAGTCGGTTCGGCTCCACTTACAATTTACATTTGGCGTTAACAGGCCGCCTAGCTTCATTTGAAAGTTTAACAAGTCGGCGACGCTTCGTCATCTATTTCTGTGTATGTGTATGTGTGTGTGTGTCTATGTTATCGTTTGCTGTGACTTGCAAATAAAATTTGACTACTGCTAACAGTTATCTCTCTCTCTCTCTCTCTGTCGCACACACATTTACACAGTGCAAGTGATTTTATTGAGAGAATTGTGTATTAAAATAAGGAAAAAGAAAACTAAAAGAAAATACTAAAATGATGGTGCTACAGCAACAGCAACGTTTGTGGGAAGCCACCAAAGCAACAACAACAACAGAAGCAACAACAACAGCAACAGGCGCTGCTGCAACAGCAACAACAATAACAACAAAATCGGAAGCAGAATTGGATTTGAATAATGCGGCCAAAACACACACATGTAAACAATTACATTTAAATGTTAAATTAACAAAGAATTGCACATAGCATACTAAGTTAGTTAAGCGCTTTAAGCAGAGTGTTGCCAACTCTTAAGCTCTGCTTAGGCTGCTAGGCTGACTAAGCTAGTTAGACGGCTTAAGGACAGCATTGTCAACTTCGAGTTTTAAATTTACAATAAGCTCGCGGGCAATAATAGCAAACAGCATTGCCAGGCAGCAAAGCTGAATAACCCACTCAGAAGCTTTGAATAGAGTGTTACCAGCTGCAACTTGCAAGCATAAGCAGAGATTTTTCGAGATTTTCTCGTTAATTTTTTGATCAACTTTTGAAAGGTTTTACAATATTTTAAATGCTTATTTTATTTATTATATTTTTAAGCACCTTATGTTGCTTACAAACTTCAATTTATGATGCTGGAATTTTTATTTATTGAGAATTAATATTAAATTTTTGTTGATTCAGTAATTTTTGACAGATTTCAAGCCCAAAACTTTTCGTTGACTAAAATTGATATTATTGGATTACTTTTCCAATTTTACATTTTCCAAGAAGATCATTAGAAAAATACTTATTAATCGGAAGATAAATACAAATATTTTCTAGTTTGAAATGAACATTAATTAAAATATTAAACCGAAGATGAATGTAATAATTCAGATATCCTTATCTATATTATTTATTTTGTGGGTAAATTTAAAAAAGAACAGGAGATAAATATAAAATATTAGAAAATAGATTTCAACAGATTTCTATATAATTAATTGATTTATCTACATATAGCCAGAGATGAGTTGAATTTATTGCCGCACCTGTGGCTTTCACTTTCTCTTTGGGCATAAATTTCCACGTGCAAACTACTTGCAACCAAATGCCACATGAACTGATTACAATAGAAGGCAGGCAGACCACGCCCACACATCTCGAGCTCATCGTATAGAATTACGGTTTTTGTGCTATCAGATCTACAATTTCATGGGTAGAGTTTTGATATGGCATCATGATGATGTCCCCTGTAGTCAGGTCGTCCTGTAGTCCTTTGGTCCTTTAGTTCTCTTGCAGCTGATGCACTCCCCACTGTGCGTGTGATCATTGCCCACTGTTTGCATTTGCATCCTGGTCAGAGAGAACCGAGGTCCTTTTTACCTGTCTCAGGTATTTTGCATGCGCATCACAGAAAACAAAAATAAAAAGAAAAAGGAAAACAGAAACCGAAAAAAAGGAAAACGTTTTTTTTCTTTACCCTAAAAAAGGCAGTCTTAAAAAAATAGTTGTGCCTTTTTCTTCCTCTTCCTTTTCCTCAAGGCGTGCAATTTTCCCATAATTTTGCTGACCATAAAAAAAATACAAAAACTGGCCACAAAAGCCAAATTTGTTGTAATTACATTTAAGCCGAAGGTGCAAGGATATGCGTTGCCTTTTTAATTGCATAAGGATAACAAAAAAAGGAGAAAAAATAATAGAAAAAAGAAAGGCAACATGCAGATTGAGTGGAACACCCCTAATGCCACTTGTAATCACCCTATGAGCAAAAAGGGACACTTCGCAAAGCTAAGCCTGGCGCTGCCAGCACAACTCCCAACTGCCACGCCCCCACCCTCAGCCCACACACACACACACATACGCACACCCGCAAAAGTCCATTATGAACCGCACACAGTGTGTTACTCTCTGGGTAATCTGTATATTTATAATGCTCAAGCTGGCTGGCTGACATTATGCACAAGGATTCCAAAACATTCTACATCTCTGCCCATATATTGTCGTAAAAATATGTTGCTTTTTTCCGTCTATCCGTCCGTCTGTCTGTTTGTCTGTCTGTCTGTTCTGTCTTAGTCAAGGATGCTGCACACAGTTTGTTTACGCCCCGGGGGAGCTATAAATTTAATATCTACTTTGCAAAACAAAAAACCCCGAAAATGCCATGCACAAAAAACAGGACTCAGAACGTTACAGTGGACACTACTGGGCAATGGACAACAACTGCAACAACTCTCTCCAGAGAGAGAGAGAGAGAGAGAGAGAGAGAGAGAGAGAGAGAGAGAGAGATAGAACAGCTCAAACACATATGTGTGTATTTAAAGTACACGCATCCCGTGTGTGCCTATGGATGTGTGTGTGTGGTGTACTTGATTTTTGCATAGTTATACACTTTATAAATATCAAAAGTTAATGTTTAACACTTATCGATAACTCGTTTAAATTGTGCAGCTTTAACTAATACTAGAACATTTGAGAGCAAATCACTTTTTTGGAGGCTTAATTAATGCTTAATTGATGGACTACTTTCTACCTTAGCGACTTTAACATTAGCTATCCTTCTATGGAAGATATCGATAACTTGTCTAGGTTGTATTTATCTTTGACTAATACTATAAAAATGTTCAAGAAATTATCGATAAGCAGTTTACTTATTGATAGATGTGCAACTTTATCTTTTAACGGAAGGGAACTCAGCTTTAGCTATGCTTCGATAGCACTTATCGATAACTTGTCTATGTTGTATTTATTCTTGACTATTAATAAACTGATGATTAACTTTTTAAAGTTATATTTATCTTTGCCAATTGCTATGCATATTTTAAAGAAAAATGTTTAATTTATTTAAGATTAATTAATGAGAGAACTCATTCTGGAAATAGTTGCCCAGCTTGATAAACTCTGTGCTTTTAAACCACCCTCACAAAAGTCAGTTCTAATCGATTTGCAATTTACGAATGTCATTACTCAAGTGAACTTTAAGAACTGGACTCATTTCAAGTTGAATTTAGCTTCACATGAAAGTCTTAAAAAGTTTACAGCGTTTCAGGCACTCAGAGAAATAGAAGAAAACACAAACAATTTTTGCATGTTGGAGCCGTAAATACTAATGGACATTTTACGAGCCAAGTGGGCAAACCGAGGCCAACAGCTCGAAATGGACAAACGATGACCAAAATGTCTGAGTGTGTCTGTGTGTGTATAGATGTCTGTGTAGATGTGTGAGTGTGTCAGTTACACTCGCCAAAAACAGACAACACCCAGACGGAAACCCCAGCCCCAGAAAGTGGCACAAATTGAAAGCTATGCGAAAGGACATACGTGACATTTGCATTTATAGGGATGGGGGGCGGGGTGTGTGGAGTAGAGGGGTGAATGAAATAATCGATAGGCAAATGATTGGTCAAGCGTTGCCAACTTAATGATTAATCGATGATAAGTAGCATGGAATGATGATGATTAATTGTTGAACAACTTAATGTTCTAGTGAAAGAGGAGTCAAATTTGTTTATGCTTCGATAACACTTATCGATAACTTGTGTATGTTGAACTTAGCTTTGACTATTACTATGCAAATGTTGGAAAGTTTAATTTTAATTGATAGGCAACATTAGCCAAAGGCAACTCAACACAAAATTGATCACTTTTTTAAGCTGTATTTAGCTTTGACTGTTACCACAAAGTGTCTTGGAAAAGTGTTATATTTATTTATTAACTCAGTTGAGGGGCAACTAGTTTTACAAGAAGGTTTATCCTTTTTGAATTGGTTTATTTATACAAATTTAATTTGAATAATTCATTTAACTTAAGAGGACTACTCGACTTGAGATATCTTACGATAACATAATTTTATGCAAATCGTTAGAATTACTCAAATTTTTCAGAGAATTTCCTTTTCACTCACTGAAAATGAACTTGAATTTAAATATATTTTTTACTTCTTTTCTTTGCAGTTATGCGACACATGTCAAACTCACCGACACCGCCATCTCCGCTGCGATCCCTGTCAGGTATGCAATCCAATGTAATCCTTTGCCCACATTCAGCAGACATGCACCAGGAATCATTATAACATAAAGATACGATAGCTGTGAGTTTGTCGGACTCGTGTCTCGTGTCTGATTCGGAACGTGGCTACTTTGTGGCTAAATTGATTACTCACACGAGCTACGTTTGCCAATTTATTGATGTCTCTCTCCTCTCTCCCTAAAAAGAGTGAAGGGATGCGCTCGGAGGCAAGGCGAGCTCAACATTATATAGTTTGTTGCAAAAGGCCAATATGCAACACAAACAGCACAGACAACAACGACAAAGACTACCCCAAAGGCAAATGTTATTTTGAGGCTGAGGATGAGGTTGGGCCTCAGCTCCGAGCGTGTCAGTTTGGCTCTTTGAGGCAGGCATCTGGATTTGGGTTTGGGTTTAGGTCGGGGTTTTTAGGTAGCTGCCACGCACGTGACTAAAGTGTGACCCTAAACTCGGTTGTGCAACAATATGTGGCACTCATTGACTATTTTGCAAACGTTGCATGAAATTCGATGAATTTGTATGTGGCAAAAGTTGAGCCCGGCTTTGATATGGAAATAGGTTAAATAATTATTTGCCTATTATCACAAGATGTATATTAAAGTGAACAATAATCATATTCTGATGCAAATTAAGCTGCTCGTTCTTGTTCCTCAGAGACCCAAGCAGAGTCTACAAATGGCTTCCTACACAATTTGCAGGTTGGCTAGTTCCTTGAGCAACCTGTAATGTTCCTTCCGCCAATCGGTTATGCATCGCTGACAGTTTTAACTCATATTCAGCCAATAATTACTTCATTGCTTTCCACAACAAGTCCCACTTCAATTCCTCCATAACTGAACAACTCTTCTTGAAAACACCTTATAATTTCCATTCTACACAAATGCTCAACTCCAAAAGAAGTAAAACGCCCTCGTAACGCCCCCAAATCAAACAAAACTAAACAAAAAAACAGCAGTGAGCAGAAAATAAAAATAATAATAATATCACAAGAGGCACACACAAATTACCCTATCAAAATGTGGAAAACCACAATTAGCCTCACGCAACATAATCCTTTTGGGGTAACCCTAAAAGCAACAACAAAAAAGTAAGCGGAAGAGGCGTTCAATTTGAATAAGAGGCAACAAGAGTCAACAAGTGGGGCACTTATAAAAAAGTAAGCACACTTAATTTTAGGGTTACGCTTGTGCTAGGGTGACGTAGAGCAAAAAATAAAAAAGAAAAAAGGAAGGGAACCCGCTAAACAATAATTTGACACACTCGCTTTACACCTCATCGCCGTCCTCATCACTATTCAAATGATATGTTAAACAGGCAACACCAAACAACTGTTGCTTTGGCAACCCTTCTTTTTTTAAGAGCAACCCTTTTTTAAGGGTTTCACATAATAGTTGTTGTTGTTGTTGTGACACATTTGAATATGCGCCTCGTTGTTAATTTTGTGTAAGCCAATAAAAATGCAACTTTAATTGGCAGGCAGGCAACCCTGTCCAATGTGTATTTAAATGAGGAGGGTTGTCATTTAAATGTGAGCACTTTTTTTGAGGGGGGATGACTTTGATGTTCTAGGCATGTTTTTGCATAGATTAGTTGCACTTTGTTATGCTTATAGAGAAGGTAGGGCAGGGGGGGTTTAAGGTCGCCAGTTAGGGCTGCCAACCCCTCCCCTTCTTATATAATTGTTGGCACAATCAAATTTAAATGCGCAGTTGTTTTGCCAAATAATGCAAAAGGAAAACGAGAAAATTTACATTTTGACAAATTGTTATTTTTGTGTATGTTTATGAGGGAGGGTCACAGGGTCAGGCGGGGGTCAACAGTGAGAGTGTGTGTGTGTGTGTAGTGTGTGTGAGTGTGTGTGCATAACCTTTTGCATATTTGCTTGAGGGTTGTTTGCATACTCGAGAACAGTTGTTGCCATCACAAATTTCAGGGTTGCAAATGCCTATTTTAGTTGTGGGTGTCGCACATTAACCATCGAGAATGTGTATGTGTGTATGGAAGGGGGTGTGGTTGGGGAAGGGAAATTAAAATTTTACAAAAGTATTCAGATAGTTAAGAGAGAGAGAGACAAAGAGAGTTGAAAGTAAGAGTGGAAATCAAGGCATTTATCCATGTGATTCTCCACACAGAATAATTATAATGTGTAGAATCAAGTAAACAGAAGAAAGAGACCCAGAAAAGATTTATAGAAAGTAATTACCTACTTTTGCCTGCAATTTAAGCAGCTCCAACCAATTCCATTTTATTTGGCCAAATATTCACACTACAATTGAACAGTTTGTGGCACACACACACACACAGCAGACACCAACTCGATCTTTTATATCTTTCCCATAAATCGCTGTATTTTGTATTTTGTATTCAAAAACGAGGAACTCCCCATGAGCTCCTCAAAATCAACCCCTAGAAATGCAGTCGAGAGAGACAAGAGAGAAGAGTGCAACAACCAGGGGCAGGCAACACTTTATTTGTCAGTGCAACACACACGCACATTCACACATTTAACCATTGTGTTTTTGAGGCATCAGCAGCAGCAGCAGCAGCAACAAAAACACATCTGCTCTGTGGCAAAAGACAAAACGCAGCAGCAGCAGCAACAAAATTTCACCTGGTTTCAAATTTTTCGGGTTTTGCATTTTTCTTTTTTCGAATCAGCTTTTGAATTTGGGAAACACGCTGCAGGCACGCTGTTCTTGCTGCTTGCTGCTTGCTGCCTGCAGCTTCTTGACTTTATGCAACTTGCAATAATGCCCCTTTTTTTTGCGCTGTTGTAAACCCCTTTCCGCCAATCGCAAGTTGCAGTCAGCCTTTATATATATATATATAAGTCTATATGTATTTTGCTTTTTCTCTCCCTCCACCCTTGGAAATCATCCTCAACTCGTGCATTTCAAATTGTGCGCAATTGTAGCGAATTGTTTAAAATTCGTGCAGCATGGGGTGGCAGCAACCAGCGCGAGGAGGGTGCAACAAATTTTACAATCAGGGGCAGCCATAACCCTTATATACAGTTATGTATGTGATTTTTGTTAGAGCTGACTGCGTTTTATATATATATTTTTTTGTTGCTAATTATATTAGGCGATTTTTTGCGCTCACATTATAAGTCATAAAAACAGCTGCCCACATATATCTATATATATATGTATATATATATATATCCATAAAAATTTAAAGCCTTTCCCTCTCCCCCTTTAAGCCACCCGCATTGTAAAACAAATGACTTATCCTGTTGGCCAAAAACAATCCGCTTAAAACAATCATTTAATTAAATCGTTTTCAGGGTGAAAACAGAAGAAGCGTTTTCAAAAACTCGATCATTTTTTTTGATAACTAAAAAGATAGTATAAAAAACTCGACAATATTTCTCTCAATTACATTTTTTCTAAAGTATTTTTAGCTTGTCTTACAATCTATGAGGAAGTTTCTAAAACACTTGCTAGTATTTTCAATATATAATATTGATCTATTAAAAATAAAAAGCAAAGCACGAATACCACTGTGTTCAATCTATTTTTCTGATCTTCGATTGATCTTAAGGAAGTTTACAATTATTTCAAGTATTATCTTACAGCAAGCACAGGAAGTTCCTTCTTTATTATTCTGAATTGTATGGGCTGCAAATCAATAAATGCTCATGACACATTATGAAATTTGAGCTGCGTAGATCTAAATAAAAAGTACAAAAAAAAACGCAGAAAAAGAAAAACCAAAAAGTTGAGAAAAGCTTGCTGAGTTCTGTGTCCTGTGTACTGTGTCCTGCATCCTGTGCCTCGGCGATTTTTCAATTATTATGCATGATTGAATTTTGGACTAGCAAAGTTAGGGGGTCTTTATGGGGGTTGGGGCACGGCTACAAAGCAAACCCTTCCGCTTGAGCGTCTATCGGCGACCGCAGGACAACAAGCCAGGACAACAACAACAACAACAACAAGAAAACCAGTTGGCGCATTCAATTGGAAGATTGAATAAAATTTGCCTTAAAATAGCAGAAATATTGAAAACTGCTCAAAAAAAAAGAGAGCAGAGGAGAGAAAGGGACGTGAATTGAATTATGCGACGCGTGTTGTCCTGCAATGTCCTGGCTACTTTCAAACTTCACTGAGTTGGAAAATTGAAAAAGAAAATACATTTCGAATATATGTAGAATAATGTGCACTGCAAGAAAATACAAAGAACTTCGATAAGTGCTGTATTAAAACTGCTTGACTGAGGTTGAATTAAACTAGAACTAGAACTAATGCTCTAGTCGAGAGAGCTCGACGAGAAGAGAGAGAAGAGAGAAGACGAGAAGAGCTATTTAAATAGCAATATAAAGAACATAATTGAAGCAATAAATGTCTTAAAAGTTTAACCATAGCAAACAACAACTTTTCTCTATATTCTTACAGATTGCGGCAAGAGTTACGAGGAGGAGGAGGAGCTCGAGGCAGAGCTGGCGGAGGTGCATTGCGAGACGCCGCAGAATTTGAGCAGCAAACGCAGAACACAAGTGGAGGCAAGGGAGGAGGCAGCGGAGGCTGGAGCGAATGAGGTATTAAATCTGGCACGAAGCAATGGACATGAGGAGGAGGAGGCGGAGGAGGAGTTGGAGTTGGAGGAGCCGCCCAAGAAACGACAGGCGCTGCACGAGGAGGCGCCACCAGCAGCACCATCAACGGTGGCAACACACGCTCTCGCCTTTGCCGCCGAGGATATGCAACACGCGTTGCAGTTGCAGTTGCACAGCTACATTGAAATGGTGCGTCAACTGGCGCCGGATGCATTTCCCAATCCCAATCTGGCCACACAATTTCTGTTGCAGAACTCGCTGCAGGCGCTGGCACAATTCCAGGCGTTGCAACAACTCAAGCAGCAGCCAGCTACGTGTGAGGCAACCACAATGCCAGCGAGTCGCCACTATTCAACGCCGCTGAGCAAATCTCCGCTGCGCAGTCCCTCCCTGAGTCCAGTGCAACATCAGCAGCAGCAGCAGCGAACGCCGCCCAATTCACTGGGCGGATTGGGTTTGAGCAGCGCTGCCATGACACCAAATACACCAAGCATGCAACAGCTGCAGCAAGCGACTGCCTCGAGTACGCCTAAGCCTTTGTCTGGGGGCGCCACAGTTGCCGCTGTGATGGCCACCAAACTGGAGCAATCGCCCGAGGAGACCACCGATCTGGAGGAGCTCGAACAGTTCGCCAAGACCTTCAAGCAGCGTCGCATTAAATTGGGTTTCACCCAGGGCGATGTGGGTCTGGCCATGGGCAAACTGTACGGCAATGATTTCTCCCAGACAACAATCTCTCGCTTCGAGGCACTCAATCTGAGTTTCAAGAACATGTGCAAGCTGAAGCCACTGCTCCAAAAGTGGCTCGAGGATGCGGATTCGGGTGTGGCCAAGTCGGGTGGCGGCGTCTTCAACATCAACTCGATGACGAGCAATTTGAGCAGCACGCCAGAGAGCATTTTGGGACGCAGGCGCAAGAAACGCACCTCGATTGAGACAACGATCCGCGGTGCTTTGGAGCAGGCCTTCATGATGAACTGCAAACCCACCTCGGAGGAGATTAATCAGTTGTCGGAACGCCTCCACATGGATAAGGAAGTGGTGCGTGTGTGGTTCTGCAATCGCCGGCAGAAGGAGAAGCGCATTAATCCCTCGCTGGACTTGGATAGTCCAACGGGTACTCCTCTCAGTAGTCATGCCTTTGGCTATCCACCGCAAACCCTCAACATGTCCAATGGTCAGTTGTTGCTCCACGAGGCGGGGGGATCGCTGTGTGGCAGCTCTGTCAGCTCGGGGGAATAATGTCCACCCAACTGTACAATCAGCTCTTCTGTATATAATATATATAGCAAAACTTAGCTCCAGAACTTCCAAAAACATTCCAAAAAAAACCAAGAAAAGAAAAAGAAAAAAGGAAAAAAGAAATCCCATAAAAAACTGCATATCGTAAAGCCCGCTCCCCACTCTAGGTGATATAGACAGTCGTATCAAGAAGCATTCCATAACGAATTTACAAGAAATACATATATACAGCATACACACTATATATACTACTACTACTATATATATATATACAATTTCAGATCCCAAGTTCCTAGCTATACGAATATATAAATATTTATAACTAGCCATAACTGTTGTGTCCTGTATATGTGTACATGTATTGTGTATTGTGTATCTCTTCAGCATGCCAATCTATCAAGTATCTATATATATAACACACATATATATACCCTATACCCCATACCCTATACCCCTATACCATTATATATAATATTACATGTTAGACTCCAATGTAACATACTACCTATGTATTTGTATACTATATTATAATGCTAAAGATATTGTTGTACAATGTCCAATTGTAAATTGATCTTAACTCTTAGATCTAACAAAACAAACAAACAAAAACACAACAACAAAAAACACACACACACAAAACAAATTTCAATAAAAATTATTTAAAAACTTTAACCGAGTATCTTTTAATAAAGCCTAAAATTAAAGGAGTTTTTAATAGAAAAAGATTTATATGGATTATAAAGTGATTTATATAAATTAATATTAATATCATTCTACTAAATTGGGAAATATGAAAGTTCTTAAGAAATTTTATTCTAGTGTTGAGCTGTGTTCTTTTAAATTCTAGAAAGCATTAAATTACGTAGTTCAAAGTAAAGATTTTAGAGTTGTTATGGGTTCAAGAACAATAAAAATGACAAAACTGCTAGAATTAATATTACTGAAAATTGTGAGAGTTCTAAGCTATTTTCAAAATGCATCGACTAGTTAGACTAGATAAAATAAGAGATTTATGCGCTATATCGACTGTATTATAGTATATTAGAAGAATATATAGAGAAGAATTCTTTTCAGCAGCAAATATGTAGGCTATGATATACTATTTAGTTGTAAACATTCATCATAAACAGTAATTTATTTAAATAATAATTTGAAGAACATCACCAGCCAAAATTGGTGACTACAGTTTTGAAATTGTTATAGATTCTTATCGAGTTTCTCAGAGCATAAAAATCCACTTGAGAATAGTCTGAATTATCTTCGTCAAAACGATTATTTAAAACCAATACCTTTTAGTCATTATTTAGCATTTGAATTAAAGCAGCTCTTAAATAAAATCTTGCTTCAATATTTTATGATATCGGAATATTCATTCAAACAGACGAAGAGACGAATATATAGAATAAATAGAGTTTTTGGGGTCGAAGATGCTACTTGCTGCCTTAAGCTAATAACTAAAAATAATACTAAAAATTCCATTAAATGCTATCTGTTCTCTTCTTCGAATAAAGAAATAAATAATCAAGGCACGCTTGTATACCCTACAAAAGAAACCATTAAAAACTGCGTTGCTCTCATTCAAAACGATTTAAGCCTCGGATTTGGTTTATAATTCAATTAGGTGCCATTTGGCAGGGCAACAGCCCAATATTAAGTCCTAAGTACACTTGAATCTCATTAGAAGCTCCCTAAATAAATATTTAACTACATATTTAGTTAACTGATTTCGCAGCACAGCCAAAAAAAAAAGAAAACAACAAAAAAACGAACAGAATCCCATCCGACAGGACACGCGCCAAGCGCAAACACACCATTTTTTAATAAACTTCCTCTACACACACACACACAACAAACACACACAGACACAGTGGAGGGGTGGAGGTTAACCCGCACCAACCCCTTTTCTTTTTTGTTGTTGGTAAAAATCTCGGGAGTGGATTTGTTGGATAAGAAATCACTTCATCTTTGCCGTTGCGACACTCAAACCGAACCGAACCAAACCGAACCGAACCGAACCGAGTGAAACCCTTATTTGTATATTGAGGCAAGCGTGTAAATCCCCTCCCCCCTCACAGCAAAAGTTTTAGCGACTTGCTTCCCCCTCCTCCCTCCGAATCGCCCTTTCCTGATTCGCTTAGAGAACTCTCTAGCAAAAAAATAAAATAAAAAAGAAAAGGGTTTATGCCATAAATTCACACATAGTTATGTCATATGGTCTACTAAAGAGGGGGAAATTGTTCTCTGTTTCTATTTCTATTTCTCTTGTTGTTTTTTTATCTTTTTTTTTTGGTGGGGGGGGGAGGGTATCCTTTAGCTACTATTGACAGTGAAAGCATTTAGTGTCTTGTGTCCCAGTTGTGAGTTATCTGCCGATATTCGCAAATTCCTTTTCATTTAAAAAGAAAAACAAGTGAGAAAAGCTTTCTTGGGCTTGGGGAAGATAACAGACCTTTGTAGACGTGCCGATATTTAATTTCACTATATATTATATATGTTTTGATAGTGCAGATGATGAATTTTTCGTCAAAATTCTCCAATTATTCTTAGGAGCATTATAAAAGGCATAACTGATAAGTTTGCTGCGTATATCTTGTTAAACAAAATGTCTCTTTTAAGAAAATTATTGAATTGAATTTTCCTATGTAGTACCCACGATTCATAACAATTTTAAAGGATCTACCATCGTTTTAGCCCCCCTTAAAAATATCAAACTAAAAAGTGCCCAATTTAATTTGGCTGCAGATCAAAAGCGTTTCAAGGGCGCCCTGAAGCAATGGCTTATCAACTGCAAGGACTTCAGGACCAAGGACTAAGGACTAAAGCTGCAAACAGAACAGTAGCTGAAGGCACACTCATTCAGCACTCATTCAGCACTCACGAATAATTGGTACACTCGAAAGCATCTCGGCTCCGTTCTTTGAATGTTATCAGTCCGTTGCAGACGGCGTTCAAAGGGAAAGGGAAAAGGGAAAGAAAACGCTTTCAGCCCATATTCAAAATGCTCTAAACCGCACCCCCCCACCCCCTCCCCAATCGTCCCCCTCACCCCACCTCAAACCCTAAGCAGCCCTCTGGTCATTTAACTGGTCAAATAGCAAAGCAGAAGAAGCGGGTTGGAATTGGGATTAGGCATAGGATGTTGCCCCAGGGGTTGGGGGGTGGTGGTACTATTATTTGTGCGGCATGTGGCATGTGTGGCAAGCCGGCGGACTATGTTTCAGATCGGCTGCTAAAGATTTGATTTCAGAGCTCCTTTTGATAGATTTTTTCCCACTTTGCCCACTGCATTTGCAAATTGAATTCCATTCCATTTTGAGAAATGCTTTTTTCGCTTTCTCTGCTCGCTTTTTTTGTTGTTGCTTGCTAAAACTTCATTTATAACAATTTAATGAAATTTTCGAATGCGTTTTCATAACATTTTCCCCCCCTTCACACAGCTTCTCCATCGCCGGCCAAATCATTAATCACACAAGTGCTGCCAGGACTAACGAAAATTAAGTTTTTTTTCTTCTGCTGCTGCTTCGTCTTGCTTTATTTTTGTGTTTTTTGTATCCGCTTAAGTGCCCCGCCTATTTGGTGGGCGTTTCAACTTGGTTAAATGCACAGCTTATCTTTTTATCCGCATAACAGAGCGGCTAATCGAAAAGTATGAATATGATGGGAAACATATTTGATTGTCAAATTGGCCAAGGGATCAGGTCAAAAGGAAAAAAACTGAATAAATTATTCATTTAAGTGTAGAAGTGAGCAGAGTAACTATCTTAAGCCAAAAATATTATTTATTATATTTATTAAAGTTCTATATGAAAAAAATTTCAGCACTTATGGTTTTTTAATGCATAGTCAAATTGTCAAATCGAATCGTGTTTCAGAACCGGTTCCGGCACATAAAGTACAAAGGCTCATTTAAAGTTTGTGAATTGCTTCCACATCTTTTCGGTGGTCAGTTCAATTATGCTAATATATATACTAATATTATCGGTTTTTGAAACTGGTTCTTTAAAATAATATTTATTTTCGGTACTAGTTATGAATTTGCATCAGTAAAGTTGCAAGGTTTTCGGTACGACAACCAATTTCTTCTTTCTTCTCGTTTTGTAAAACACATTCTTAAATTAAGATTTATCAACCAAATTTTAAGTTTATCGTTATAATTAAAATACAAATTTTATATATTATAATACTTAATAAGTAAGTTGATAATTCTCATGCTGATTCTGAGGAAAATAGATTAAAAAAAAAAAAAAATTAAGTGTACCAGGATTTTGAGGTTTTTAAAGCTAGCAAGGCACACAAATATTAAATTGCAGAGTATTTGAGATGTATTCGAGCAAGTGATTCTAATTTGTGAGCGCTTCAATGCAATTGCTGAAGATTAAATAGATTTGAACGGAGATGTCTGTGTCAAGTGAAAATTATATGGCGAGCATATGTTCAGTTTCTGGATGATTGCATGCGAATTTATATGCTTTGAATTTCAATTTGTGCAAAAAAAGGAAGCAGCTGACAAGGGAGGGCGCGGAGGGAGAGATACACCCCTTTTTTATAGCTGGTAGCTGGTCTTTGTTGTCCAGTGAATACAAGAATTGTGCAAACATTTGGCCAAAAAAAGAAAACAAGAGAGCGATGCTGCTTGGAAAAGTGGGCAAGTGGAAAAGTGGAGAACCCAATTGAATTACAATGAAAATATGAAATGAGCAACAAAGAAAAAGTTACTTTTTCTCTTATTCTCTTTTTTTTGCAGTAGCACAAAAAATTAAGCAAACATGCAAGAAAGAAACGCAGCGACAAAGAAACAAAGCACAAATCCAACATGGACCACAATTCCAAAATTATAAAGTGTGGGACCAAGCGAAGCAAATATAACTACTAGCTAAATAGTAACAAAAAAAACCAAGAGCAAAAACATTTAACTAATGGTTACCCGAATATGACATACCCTAGCAGAATGGATTCAGCAATCACAGCAAAATTGGAGTCAATTTTAGAAGGGTATCAAAGAAGAAAGTATATTTCGACAATTATGTTTTTTTTTGCCTAAAACTATAGTACATTTAATTTGCAAGGAAGAACTCTCACATTACATATGTTGAATGAATGAACTATAAAATCCTGCAAAAATTCTCGAGTATTTTTCATTAATTTTTCAAATACAGCCTTTAACCGCCTCAATTCCTTAGACAGATGGACAGACAGACAGAGGGACAAACGGATATGGCTATATCGAATCAGCTATATTTACTTTTAAAGCCCGAAGACGTCTAATTGACACACGTTACACACTTCACGACTCAATTATAAAACCCTCTACAAGTGTATCAAAATAAAAAGAGCGCAAATTCAATATTTGCGCATACAAACAAATGCGAGTCCCTAGACAAAGTCCTTCCTCCTCCCTCCTCCCCCCCCCCTCCGCCTCCGCCTCCCACTCACGCCATCCCCGCTTTAGATGAGGTCAGTGCAAATAAAGCCAATAAAATGTGGCAAAGTTCTCAACGCTGTGGGCTATATAAAAAACGAAGAAAAATAAGAATCCCAACAAGTCTTTTTAGGTATTGCAACCCTAAAAAGCGAACGCCCCAAAAAGTATGCCACAAAAGCCAAAGCCAGAACGAATTTAAATTTAAAATGGTTGAACTCTAAAAAAATCAAATGGCAGCCTCAGAAATTTGCATGCATCAATCACAACCCCCACAAGTGAAAAACAAAATGGGAAACTCAAGAATTTTTCAGCCAATTAGCTGGAAAACTTTGATCAAAGCAACAAGAAACTACCCCGTTCAGTGGATGGGTATTTTTGGGCGTGAAATGAACTGAAATCAACACCAATCTGAAAGTTCAGCCTTTTTTTTTGTTGTTGACATGTTTACACATTTAATTAACTTACACGCGCCCAAAACTTCCTGTCAGTCTACCCCTTTTTTTGGCCAAAAGTGTAAGCGAAAACTCGAAAAATGGGGCTAAGAAAACCGTGTTTGATGCTTCATTTTTTTTTGTTGGACAATTTGAGACCATTTCAAGTGGTTTAATCATTTAACGCACATCATAAAAATCGTATCAAGTGATTTTTATTTACACGCACAACAAAAGAAAGAATGCCAGAAAAAAAAGGGGCGTCAAAATATATGGGCTAGCCCAAAAGGGTTGGAGTAGAAAACAGAAACCCTTTGAAATTTAAGCAGCACTCCCAATGGGCGTGAAAATAGTCCGACAATCAGATGACCCAAAGGTGATAGTAATAAAATTAAATTCAACTGAAATGACGTTGGTTCAATTAGAGCAATATTTGATGGCGACTTGCACTTGCTAACCATTTGGTTATAGATTTATTCATTTGTTAATATTTAATTATATAAAATCTCATCGTAACACAATAAAAACCAATCCAAATAATAATAGTTTTCGTAAATTGCATACAGCAATTTGAATTTGGCGCCCAGCGTAGAAATGTTGAAAAGTCTGGCAGCGCTGTGTCTAAAACACGTGCGCGTGTGAATGACAAATTGTTGAGCAAAAAATCGTTAACATTTAAAAATACGGAAATCACATGATCATAAAAAGACTTGATTTAATTTAGTTTAGTTTGGTTTTATTAAAGGGTAAATAGATAATTTGCATTAACTTGTAGTGGCATATATTAAGTGAATTTTATTCAATTTTGTTGCGGACGTGCGCAGCCGCAATATGTGTGCGATTAATTAATGTGTGTTAAGTGTGTTTTTTTGTTTGTGTATTTTTGTGATTTTTGTTTTAGATGAAAATGCAAAAATAAGTAAAGATATTGAAGCGCTGCAGGCACGAATACAAAGTATGTTGAGATATTGTCGAGCTAACAAACTGCTTAGCTGAAGGTATTGACCTGAAAGAGAAAGAAATAATTAAAAACAAAATACAAATCATAAATCAGATATAAAATTCAAAATAACATACAATATCATCGATCTTCAAGATGGAGCGAATTGTCTCCGTAGCCAGAGTGATGGCCGAGATGCTGACCAGCAATGGTTGCACCACATTCTCAGCAAAGATGTCGGTAATGGCGCCCTTGCGCACATTAATCCCGGCATTCCTCTCACCCTGAGCATGACGATTACGCAACTCGGTCACCGTTGCAATCGGATTGAGGCCCGCATTCTCGGCCAGAGTTGAGGGAATGACCTCCAGTGCATCGGCATAGGCACGATAACAATACGCATCGACACCGTCGACAGTTTGAGCAGCCGCTGCCAGCTGCAAAGCCATCTCAATTTCGGGTGCACCACCGCCCACAATCTGAGCGCGTTTCTTCACCAGGCAACGCACCACGCACAGCGCATCGTGCAGCGAACGAGCCGCCTCCTCCAGCACCAACTTGTTGGATCCCCGGCAAATGATGGAGACGGTGCGTCCCTGATTCTGTATGCCGGTGATCTTGACGAACTTATTGGTGCCACTGGCCACCTCTTCGACCAGGTCAGCACTGGACAAATTCTCGGCGGTGAAATGATCCAGCGATGCAATCGGACGACAATGCAGGGTCTTGCACACAAACTCAATATCCTCGCGTTCCACATCCTTTACCACCAAGCACTTGATCTTGTCCAGGAAATGCTGAGCCAGATCCGAAACGGCATCACTATTAAAAGAGAGAGAGGATATTAATTGAAGATGATCATTAATATATCAAGTTAATATAATAATAATAATTATAAGGCAGTTAATAATGACAATAATAAGATTCGTAATAGTAATAAAAATAGTAATAATAATAAAACCTTCAGACATTGATTCTTACGAATCCAACCATTACTTTTTCCATAGTCTCAAATGTACATCAATATTTATCTATATTTATACATACTGTTTGGTATTTATATTTAAACTCACCGCAAAATGGACTTCTGGACGAGGAGAACATTGCAGCCGGCCTTCTTTATCTGTTTCACAATGTTGAGGATGTAGGAGCGCTCCTCCTTGAGGACACGATCCATGGCCGCATAATCGCTGACAATCACATTGTGATCCATATCGGTTTTCGGTGCCGAGATACAAAACTGAATCAGACCAATTTTGGCCTTCTCTATGCGCTTGGGGGCATTTGTGCCCGACGAGCGACTGGTGAAGACGAGACCATTAATCAGCTCAGTATCCTCAACAGTGCCGCCCAAACTCTGAATAACTTTAATGTTCTTCAGATCCACCGATGATTCCCTGCCTGGTTCGGTGACTTTAAGCACCGCATCGACAGCAATGGGAGCAAGGAGGCTGCTCTGCTGCGAGACCACCTTGGAGTTGAGGGATGTGGAGGCGCTCTTAATCAGAGTCTCACGATCGGTGATCTCAACGGGCGTTGACATCTGGGTGAGAATTTCGACGGCTTTGTTCGAGCAACGTTGAAATGAATCCGATATCGCAGTCGGATGCAAACCCTTTTGCAACAATTTCTCGCATGCCTCGAGCAAGGCGCCAGCAATGACCACAACGGAAGTGGTGCCATCGCCAGCCTCCACATCCTGAGCACGGGACAGCTCGACAAGCATTTTGGCAGCCGGATGCAAAACATTCATTTGCTTCAAAATGGTAGCGCCATCATTTGTTATCGATACTTCACCATTGGCTGCTTGGATCATCTTGTCCATGCCGCGAGGACCCAAACTGGTGCGAATAGCATCGGAAACAGCTGCAAGAAAAGTATCGATTAAAATATTTCTCTCCTTGCATCACATGAGTCATATGGTTTAGCCAAGTGTCACCACTAAGAAGTTTCGAGACGGCAGCCGGCAACTGCTTTTGTTTTATGCATTTTTCCACACTAATTCACCTTAGTAATCAGTAAAATGCAACGCAATTTGCTATTTGCAACATAAATGATCGTCTCATGTGCGTTTTAAGTGATGATCTTTTTATATTTTTTTATATCTGCTTACCTTTGGCCGCCTGTATATTGGACAGACGCACATCGGTCGGTTTCGACTTGTCTTTGAAGGTCTGTGCTTTCGGTTTAATACCAACTGTTCGTGCTTTCGGTGCCATTGTTGTGTTAATTATACAATTATTAAGAATTTGCAATTTTTCAGAACGATTTCCAACGCGATTCACACAGATTAAAAAATGACTATAAACTGTGTTTTTCGCTGCCCCGTGACGGATGGTGATGGAAGAAAATGACACACAATGCTATCGATATTTTCTATCGATTGCTCTGATGATATTTTTTGTTTTTTCGTGCACGCGCACAGTTGAATGGGAAATGCGTTTTAAATAAATAAATTTAAACATTGCATTTATTTATGTTTTACATAACTAATTAAGTTTAGCCGTTGACGGTATTTCGTCGGGACCAATTTCAATCTTTTCGGGCATGCCAACGCTCGACGTTTTGTCCGAATTTATTTGAGCCGTGATCCCTGTAAAAAGTTTCTCCCACTCCCAAACCTCGTCGGGTTCATCCAGATTCTCTTGGGCCTGCAGGCAACGCGTCAATATCGATAAGTCGACATCCTCGATAGCTGAGAACGCATTCTGCGATAGCAAATCAGAGCTGAGCTCCTTAAATGTGACGTCACGATTGATGGCAACACTGCTGAAATTTATGACTAACTATAATTTATTGTAAATTTCAGTAAAATAAAATACTTACGAGGGCGGTTCGACAATTTCGTTTAGCAAAATTTCATCCCTGATATCGTCAAGATCTGGTACAATGGGTATATCATCTGTGGGTATTGTGCTTGTAGCTGATTTTGTTATTTGAAATCGCTCGCTAAAAATGTAATCATTTTAGAAATAAGATTGTTATAATAGGGTTGCAACTTACTCATCAAACGAATTTTTCTTTGATCTGCGAATATAAATAAAGATTAGTAAAAAATATAATCTTGGAGAATATATTATGTACTTCAGGGATTTTTGGCCTGAATCTGCCCAACCACCTGAGACACGTCTAATTGGCGGTCGATTTGAATCAAATTCATTATTGAATGTTGTTGGTGTTGTTGCCGCTGTTGTCGTTGTTGTTGGACTGCCTGTGCTCTCATTGTGTATATCCAACGTAATATCTATCGATAAATCCTTAGCAAGCTTATGCGTCGAGGCAGCACTCGAAGCCCCCGCCTGGGTTTCATTTAGCACATCGCGACTTTTTGAACGACGACCCTTTCGCGCCGTTGTCTATAAATATGAATTAAAATTAACTTAAAGTATTATTTTTATTTCTCCACTTTACCTTTCTAATTGTCATTTTCAGCTCTTCAGCCCAATCCATCGCAGAAAATTTTTTGTTGTTTATATTTTCACTCGTTGCCTAGGCAACAAGTCGTTGCAAGTGTATGGGTAAAAAGAGTAATGTAGCCATCAAACGATATATCGATATATTTCGATAGCAACTTACATAGAGCTCTGTTGCTGCCAACTTCACGCCATACCTTGAGGAGGCTTAATTGCCTTGTTCAAAACAAAACAATAAATAAAAACTGCTAAGATGCTAACGGACGACGATGACTTCTTCTACGAGGATAAAATGTGAGTAAAAAATGTGCACAAAAGAACGTACTGTTATATGTTTTTTATATCGCATTGTGAGCGTGCAAAGAATTTTCCCAGTGGGTTGTTAACAAAAAAATCAATAATTGGGTCAACATATTGTACATGATTATTTATTTTTTGAAATTGCAAAGCACAAATATTTTTGATAGAACTCGGCCAAGCGGCGCCGAGCCAATGCTCATCCAATTAAATGAGGACTTTGAGGTGTAAGTATTTAGGATATTCCAATTTGACAGATAGATTTAAGTGAATTCTCAAAAAAAAAAAAGTCCCAAGGATGCGGCCCAGGAATCGAAATCGTACTTTGATGCTGATGCGGATGCAGATGCAGTGCATCTTTGCACCAACTTCGACATGGCTGCCGAGAAATTTGGACTATACAATAAACAGAAATATGAGCTAGATCGCTTGTAAGTCAATTCCTTGACTCGAATTAGCTCGATATTAAAAAAAGCGTTTATTACTTAATTTTAATCGTTATGTAGTGTCTCCAAAGCTAACCGAAATAGACGGAGACTGAGTCAAAAAAAAAACACACCACAATAGAAATAACGGCGCCAGATTTAAATTAAAAGCATTTAACATGTGTATATTTGTTATTTATATATATATATTGTTTTCACCAATTGTTATATTGTAAGCAACTAGTTGTCTTGATGTGTAGCTAGAATTAAATGTAAATAAGTTCTTAGAATTAAAATAGAGGGTGAAAATATTTATAGAACGTTCTCAACTTAACAGAATTTATATATTAAAATAAAGTGGTTCGCAGTTCTTAGTTCTAGTTCAGTTCCTATAGATTGGAAACCGTAGCGGCTTAGCTTTAAGTATCAAATTTTATAAAAGTTTTTTTAAACGATTTTTATGGATTTGCTAGAACTAATAAGATGGCTTTTTAGAAGACTGCACCTGAGGAAGTGAGTACAGCACGCTTATTAATTACATGTAACATGCTCAAACTTAGGTCTAGACAGCAGACTATATACCGTATATATGCAAAACCAAATCAAACTTTAGCTAATCCGATTATGTTCCTTATACAAACAGGGGCATGACTGTGACCACCAATGCCGTTGTCATCACCAAGGATCAGAGCAACCTAATCGGGATTAGCATCGGCGGCGGAGCGCCAATGTGTCCCTGCCTCTATATAGTACAGGTGAGAGAGAAGATTTATATATATACGCAGTAGTCGAAGTGAACTCGACTATGATATACACTGCATCCAACAGCTGCCTGTAACATAGTCCTACAAAAAACCAAAATACCTTTACTCATCTTCAATGAGTACATTAAAATAACGAACTTGTGTAACTTTTGGAATTTGTATTTGTAATCATTAATTTGCTGGTGCCTTGGTGCGTTTCCATGGATTCGGTCGAGCCTTGAACTGGGTCAGTTTGCGCGCCTCTCGATACTCGTTCTGCCAGCGACGCGTCGACTCCCCAGTCTCGAGTTGCTCCCGCGAATTCTGCTCTCCCATCTGCCACATATCGAATTTCTTGCGGAGAACACCTCGTTCCACAGATCGCAGCTTAAAAGGCTTCGTCTGGACAATGGTGGAAGTGATGCGTGGCACAAACGGTCGCTTGCGCCATGGGTCGAAAAATTTGCTGCACAGATTGGGACGATGGGTTAACTCCTGTTCCTCTTGCCGTTTCCAATGGATTTGCTTACTCGCCCACTTTTCCCTGAACCTCTGGGAACTGAGCAGTGTTCGCGGTGTTATTGGTTCGGTCACTTGTTGGGCGGAGCGCAACTGACGCAGTCTATTCCGTTGCTCCCAACGCCGATGCAACGCACTGAAGTTTGGCACAGGATGTGGTGTGTTTACCTGTTTCCGCAGCGGTCGCAGCGATCCCTTCAAGCGCAGCTGTCTTTGCTTCCGATTGCGGTTGTATTCTGCCTGCAATCTATAAGCATTCGGCACGGCCACCTTCTGCGGTCTGCGCCGCTTCCTTGAGCTATCCAATCCAGCCTGTTGACGCAGCAGCCGTTTGGAGTTGCTCTCCAGCAGAATCGATCGCAATTTGTTGTCCACCAACGTTATCCGTTTTTCGTCTGTTTTTGGCGGCGTCGGCGATGTCATCATCTCAAATTGCTTAAATAAGTGTGAGGGCGCCATGGTGGTTAAAAAAAAAATAAAATTTTGTCCTAAAATTAATGCCAAAAATGAAATTTAAAGCTACATTTAGAATAAAAATAGATACAAAATCAAGGATTGCTCGAATACTATCCACATCTCAAGTCTCAGATCTGTAAAATGATTATACATTTAAATAAATTTGTATATGTTTCTTTTCTTTTCATAATCACAAAAATATTTCATATTAGATATTAATCGGTTCGTTTTGAAATTTCAAATTATAGTGTAAAACAACAGCTCAATTTTCACATATGCTGCATACTCCGCATAAATATAAATTAGTGTAAAACCACGGTAACAGAGCTTTACTTAAAGCAAAAACACATTAATTCAGTGTTTTTATATGACTCTTGATGTAATATAATTAATTATACTCTTTTGTAAATCAGTTTGAAAGCATATTTAAGCTCACTCCCGTGATAAGCTGCATACTGCGCCCAAATAACCGTTGCAAGCTTTACTCTTTTGCCGCAGCTAATTGCCGGCAAAATGCAAACAAAAACAGAAGCGATAATCTTATAAGCATTTCATAAATTATATATTTATTCATCATTTGCATACATTGCAGGTGTTTGATGGCACTCCAGCGGCACGTGAGGGTTCGCTGCAATCCGGCGACGAACTGCTCGCCGTCAATTCAAGCAGTGTAAAGGGCAAGACCAAAGTTGAGGTGGCCAAAATGATCCAAACAGCCACCGATCAGGTCACTGTGCACTACAACAAACTGCACGCGGATCCGGAGCAGGGCAAAACGCTGGACATAATACTGAAAAAGCTAAAGCATCGCATCGTGGACAGTTTGTCGAGCAATACGGCAGATACGTTGGGCTTATCCCGTGCCATATTGTGCAATGATTCGCTGGTTAAACGACTTGAAGAACTCGAGGGCACTGAACTGATGTACAAGGGTCTCGTGGAGCATGCACGTCGCATGCTCAAGGCCTACTACGATCTGCTGCAGACCTACAAGTCCTTTGGCGACTGCTTTACCCAAATCTCCGCACATGAACCGCAACAACGAGCCTCGGAAGCATTTCGTACTTTCGGAGAATTTCATCGTTCACTGGAGAAAGATGGACTGGCGATCATCAAGCAGATCAAACCGGTGCTTGCCGATCTGGGCACATATCTGAATAAGGCCATACCGGACACCAAGTTAACGGTGCGTCGTTATGCGGATGCCAAATTCACATATTTATCCTATTGCCTGAAAGTCAAAGAAATGGATGATGAGGAACATGGCTTTGCAGCGCTACAGGAGCCACTATATCGCGTGGAGACGGGGAACTATGAGTATCGGCTGATATTGCGTTGTCGCCAGGATGCGCGCAGCAAGTTTGCCAAATTGCGCACCGATGTGCTGGAGAAAATGGAGCTGTTGGAGTGTAAACATGCCATGGACTTGAATAAACAGCTGCGCAGTCTGCTCGAATCCCTTGCAGAGCTGCATCGTAATCTCGTGGAGCGGTTGGATTCGTTGCCACCCCTTTTTCCGATTGAGGTGGACTTTAAAGCGACCGATTTCCAATACAAGTCGAGCACTTTGAAGCCCCAGGAATTGGATGAGGACGAACTGGAAGCAAATAACGAGCCGACTCCCAATAATAAAATTGTTTATGGCCTGGAAGCTGTCGAGAAACCGGCTCCGATTATTCACATGGAGGCGAAGGATTCGACTGAGAATGAATCGCTGCTGCTCAAGGAGCTGGGACTGCAGGATGTGGATCTGTTGTCGAATCCGCAAACGATTAGCAATCAAAAGGATTCAATTTCCGCCCAAAATGATGGCTACGATTTTGATCTGTTCCTGAATCAAGCAAATGCAACAACAAGCCTCGAACGGGATCTGATGTCGGCGAATGCCAGTGAAACAGATTTGCTTCTGCAATGAACTTATTTTATTATTACTATTAGTATGTGTGTACAAATAAATAATTAGTGTAAAAAGCAGTTGGCTCAATTTTAAATGGAAAATATTTGTAACGGTTAAGGCTGGTATGCTGACACAAGCCAAAAGGGAGAAATATATGATCTCTCGTGATAAGGTGCCATGTGTCACATTATTTGGTCTTTTGCCATTCACAATGCACGTGCACAAATGCACAGCTGATTGCCGCCGGCAATAGATTAACAAACAGAAAATCTTTTTGTTTACTGTTGAAATGCCACCAAAATCGAGCAACAAAAAGAACCAAGCAACTTGGTATTACTGTGAAGCATGTGGCGTGCACATCACCTCCAAATCTCGAGACACACACGAGCGCATCTGCCCCATTGCCCCCGAAGCAGATGTGAGCAGCACAGAATTAAATGCGGAATTTGTGAGAAATAAAACGCTTTACACAAGCAGCCTACAAAAGCGCACTTTTGAGGTGGATGCACTAAAGGATCTGCCAGAGAAATATGTCAACATGCTCGTATTTATATCAGAGGGCGCCATGCAACTAGCTCAGTTGCACATTGGACAACAGGTGGTTATTAGAGAGGCAGCAAAAGCTGTTGATGAAATGGAGGCGCCTCTGATTCGCATTGTTTGGGCAATTCCGGAGCAGTTTCTTACAACGATCTTTGCCACAGATGAGGGTGAGTTGTTGCCATCTTCACTTACATGTTAATTGCTTAACATTTCTATTTTAGATTACGAATTGAATTGGTTGCCGTTGCATGGCAAATTGCTGCACATTTCCGCACTGGATAAAGGACAAGTTTCTGCCGCTGGTAGCATCAGATTGAGGCAGCTAAATGGCACTGAATCCAGATTGGAAAACGTACAACTCATGGATGCTATTGCTGTGCTCAAGTCACAGATGATCAATCAAGTTTACTGCATGCAAAGCGTTCTACATTTAAATTTCTTTTGTAAATCGCTTGTCTTCCGCATGGACAGCTGGCAAGCCATTGAAGAGAGCTCCATGGAGAATGCGCTATCCCGACTGAGTCTAGATAAATCCCCGCAATTTGTGCTGGTCACAAATGCCACGCGCTTAGAGCTGAGTCTCGGGGAAGAGAAGCAAGAGCAATTGCCGGCGGAACAACGCACAACAAAAGCCAAAATTGGTGGCTTGGATAAGCAGCTCTCATTGGTGGAGGAGAGCATGGAATACGCACTGGGCTACAAGCCATTGCCAGCGGGTAGATGTCCACTAATTGTCGAACTATCTCATTTTATTTGAATAATTGTTAATTCTGCTCCTCCCCTCTCTTGGCAGGCATCAAAATTTCACGTGGATTGCTGCTTTATGGCGCCAGTGGCTGTGGCAAATCCCTCATCTGTGAGGCAATGTGCACCGCTGCCAAACAACACGATGGTCAGGTGCAAATAATGCGGATTAGTAGCGGTGATGTCTTCAGCAAGTTTCTGGGCGAAACGGAGCAAAAATTGAGATCGCATTTTGAGCGCGCCTATGCTCATTATCCGCATCCCACACTCCTGCTGCTGGAGGATGTGCACACGCTGTGTCCCAAGCAGGAAGGGGGCAGTGATCTGGTGAAGCGTGTTTCACTCGCCTTGCTCGCGCTGCTCGATCAACTGAGCAGCGGGCACCGTCTCGAAGCGGATCGCATTTTTGTGCTGGCGACCACTTCACAAATCGAGGCACTGCATTCGAGCATAAGACGCGCGGGTCGCCTCGACACCGAACTGGAAGTGGGTGCACCAGCGCCAACTGCCCGTAAAGAGATACTCCGCTGCCTCCTGCAAGAACAGCTCGGGGATGCGGAACTGGAGCAAATAGCGGCCATAACACATGGCTATGTTGGCGCCGATTTGGCCAGTTTGGTGTATACAGCAACGCTGGCAACGCTGCGCGAGAAACAGCATCCGCTGCAGTTGCAGGATTTGCTGGCTGCGCTGACAAAAGTGAAGCCTTCGGCTATGCGCGAAGTACTCATCGAAAATCCCAATGTGCTCTGGTCGGATATTGGTGGCCAATCCGCACTACGTTTGACCCTTCAACAGGCCATCGAATGGCCACTGCTCCATGCGGATAAATTCGAGCGTTTGGGCATTAAACCACCACGTGGCGTACTCATGTTTGGTCCACCCGGTTGCTCCAAAACAATGATTGCCAAGGCCCTGGCCACCGAGAGCAAGCTGAACTTTTTGGCCATCAAGGGACCAGAGCTCTTCTCCATGTGGGTGGGCGAATCGGAGCGTGCTGTGCGCGAAGTATTCCGCAAGGCACGTCAAGTGGCGCCCGCCATCATCTTCTTTGATGAGATCGATGCCATTGGCGGCGAGCGCTCGGAGGGTGGAGCTGGTGCCTCTGTCAAGGAACGTGTGCTCACCCAGCTACTCACCGAACTGGATGGCGTTGAGGCGTTGCATAATGTGACCATTGTCGCCGCCACCAATCGTCCGGATATGATTGATAAAGCTCTGCTGCGTCCGGGTCGCATCGATCGTGTTTGCTATGTGGGTTTGCCCGAGGCGGAGGCTCGTCGTGAAATCCTCGGGATTAAGTTGCGTGCCATGCCCCTGGCTGAGGATGTCCTTGTGGAGCGGCTTGTGGAGCGCACCGATGGCTATTCGGGTGCCGAGATTCAGGCCGTTTGCCATGAGGCAGCGATCTGTGCGCTGGAGCACAGCTTCGAAGCGGACGTCGTCCACTGGGCGCACTTTGAGACGGCTTTGGAGAGGGTGCCCCCTCGCACAAGTCCCGACCTGCTGCGACTCTATCAGGATTACCTCAAAAAGTAAATAATTTGTATTATATACAAATAGTTGTTCCCATAAGCAAGTTCTTTGAAATGTTATCAAGTGACTTTTATAAATTGTTTTTTATTAAAATGATTGCATAACAATTTCAAATATCTATGGAGACTGAAAAAATATTCGGCATTTAGTGTTTTAATCAGATTTTTCCAATAATTAGCCGTCTTTAAGTTATTTGAAGTATTGTACAAATGGGTCTGTGGTTGTAATTGTTTTTATTCAACAAATTCAACAAATTAAATAATATTTCGTATAATTTTTTATTCAGCTTTTTCAATCTGTGCTTTTGTGCAAAATCACTACGACTGTATTTAATTGATTAATATATTTTTATTTGCCACTTGTAACTGATTTTTTCAAATCTCAAGTGGAAATCAATTTGATGTCCATCAGCTTATCGGATCGTGCTCTTCGCCTACTCCTGAAATATTTCTGAAATGTAAATTTTTTCGCCCATTTTCGGCGATTTATTTTTACGATCACTCTTCACTCTCTCCAATCTCAGGTGGGCGGTTGATTAACTTGATAAATCATCTGACAATCAAATAGATAAGCGCTCAGCAACAAATAGGAATATTACCAAATTGATAACATATCTCATTGGTACTTTATTTAATCATAAATCTTTCCCACATTTGTTTTATTTATTTGATGTTGCAAACATAATGAAAAAGTTGTTATACTCAATAAAAAGATATTGAAACAAGCCAATCACCAATCAGCCAATTCGACACCCAATTGAATCAGTTGAATATTGACAAATGTTTGAGCAGCTGATTACGTTTAGATATGCTGAGTGTGCAGTAAGCCCTTCATCTCAAATAAAAGTATGAAATGCTTTTGAAAATGTAGTAAAAAAAATCACAGCAAATTTATTTATACATACATCGTTACATGGAATATAGTAACCCGTTACTACAATGACACTTGGAATCTTTTGCCGGCAGAGAGTACAAAATATTTAGGTTTAATTACTACAGCTTATGTGTATTTGTAATATTTTAATTGTGTTCTTGAATTTCTTGCTTTCCGAATATAATACCCTATATACCAGTAAAATCAGCAACAATTTAGAGTATACATAATTTCCATTATGTTAATTAAGTACATAAATAAATAATTAATTAAATATAATTTAGAGGCAAAGAAAGCAATTTTAAATTGAGGGTGTCTAATACCCTTGAACTTTAGCACCAACTAAGAGTATACAAAAAGAGAGAGCTGCTTAAAATTGAGTAACATATACTCAATATAATATAAACCTCAACTTTATCTATATAAAACTAAATAATAATTTAGCATAATTTCTATAATATGTATATAAATATATACAAGTAAACTACTAAATGTAGAATACAAAAATATACATTAGATTACTTATTACAGGGTATGGTTATTTGTAATGTGTCAATTCTGTTGTATTTTTTGCCACTGTGTGCAAAATGTGCTTTTTATGAGCAAGGCAGAGGGAGAGCAAGCAACAGGTTGTTTTCAGCTGAGAGACAGAAAGAGAGAGAGTTCGTCTGAATGCGATCGAACGGATAAAAAGCAGTTGTTGTGTGGCGTTCGTGGCATTAACATTTCTCTCCCGTTCTGTGTGTGTTTGTGTCGTAATCACAGAGACACATTTATTTCATTCCCGCTCTTAGCAGACAGCTGGAGAAGATGGATACCTGGCTGAAGATATCGTTGCTGCTGTGCACATTTGGTTTCTTTCGCGAGATGCGTCCCTCGGAGCCGTTTGTCACCGAATATTTGGCCGGGGATTGGCGCAATCTGACCACAGAGACCGTCTACCAGGAGGTGTATCCATTTGGCACATATTCGGTGCTCGCACAACTAGTCCTGGTCTTTCTCTTCACCGACCTGCTGAGATATAAACCGATAATTGTGCTCTCCTCGCTGGCGGGCATCACATTGTTTGCCATGTTGCTTTGGACACGAACTCTGCTCGAATTGCAGTTGGCGCAGATATTCTTTGGCTTCTTCACCGCTGCCGAGGTGGCGTATTACACTTATATGTATGCCAAGGTGGAGCGGGAGCGATATCAGATCGTCACAGGACATACACGTGCCGCCATCTTGGGTGGTAAATTTCTGGGCGGGATTCTGGCCCAGTTGCTCGTCTCCACGGATAGCATGAGTTTTCGGCAGTTACACTTCATCTCGCTGGCCACACAGATTATATCGTTGCCGATTGCGTTGCTGTTGCCGCGTGTGCCACGGAGTCTTTATTTCTATGCTCCGGCAAAGCCTGCACAAATCCCACTCCCCGCCAGCACGGAGACGACTATGGCGCCAAAGTTTTCTTTGCAAAATGCTGGGCATTTATTGTGGTTTCATCTGACCTCGTCGTATACGAATCCGATTGTTTTAACGTGGAGCATCTGGTGGACATTGGCGACTTGCGGGCAAGTCCAAGTCATTACCTACATACAGTTTTTGTGGAAGGATCTTGCGCCGGATAATGAGAGTAAATATAATGGTGGCGTTGAGGCAGTCGCCACTTTGCTGGGCGCAATTGGTGCTCTCTTTGCCGGCATGCTCAACAGCAATATCAGAAGAAATTTCTATATGTTGATGAACTCCTTTTGTGTGGCTCTGCTTGGTGGTCTTCTACTGCTGGCGGCACTTTGTGAAAGCGTCTGGTTGGCCTACATCGGATATGCCATATTTTGTGCCGTATTCTTCTTCATCATTACGGTGGCGGCTGCGATTATTGCCAAGAATCTCGTCGATGACAGTTTCGGTTTGGTCTTTGGCATCAATATGCTTGTCGCACTCGGCCTGCAAACCATACTAACCGTTGTTGTTGTCACGGGTAAGTGAATACCTAAAACAAATATATATATCTATTATAAAAGTTTGAAATTCTCCATTTAGATACGGGTTACGGTTTGCCGCCAAAGGATCAGTATATTGTATATGGCAGCTATTTTCTTTGCTTGGCTGCCATTTTCCTTGTGTTGCGCTTGCTCATCCATTTATTTGCAAAGAAAAAATCGTCAGAATCGTAGTATAAATATTAAATGAAATATATTTTGTTATATTTTGCTTATTTATACAGACACATGTTAAACAGTCAGATACTTAACATGCTGCTAAGCTGTAATTAACAGCGAGCGTTCATTTTATCCACAAATGTAAGAATTTAATTTTATCTTTAGAAAAACCGCTATACTCGTAGCACCTGTTTTTTTACTTTATTTTTTATATCAATAATAACATATGACAAAATAAGAAAGAATAATTATGCAAAGATAAGAGTACAATGCCAGAAACTTTAAATTCTGCCAAGCTGTTATTAACAGAGATCACTCACTTTAAACACAAATGTAAGAAATTATTTTTAAGCTCAGTTTACAGATCGACGGAAAATTTCGCGACCGAAATTTGCAATGTTTTGTTTGTGGAACTTAAACATAAAGGTTTGCTGAGAGGCGAAAATTGAATGAATTCATTTTCTAGCCTTTACGACAATTATAAGTAAACTTTTTTCTTGAAGATTAAAATCATTTTTCATTCATAATTTACTATTTCCATTTCTATGGACGGTGGCCGTCGTCAAAATACATCAAAGTTCATTATTTTGACACCGTTGAAGAGCGGATTCTCACTGGTCAACACTGAGTTAACATTGTGGATTTTAGTTTTACGGTCAAGTAGTTTTCAGATCCGTTACAATAGCAAACAGTAAATAATAGTAGTTATCAAAATCCAGCGTTGCAATAAATATCGATATATAACAGCTGCGATGTTTTCATATATAACTAATTGACATTTGACCATGACTAATGTTTGGCGCTCACTTACTCAACTGTCAACTAGTAAAAATTGTGATACTGTTACCAATAGTGTGAATAATCATTGTGAAATTCTGCATAATAAACAATGGAAACTCAAAATGATCTGCCCGAGACACCACTGCGTTCCTTCAAATTGTCACATCAAGTTTTGAGTCTAACCGAAATTAGTTTGGAACATCGCAGAATTCAGGTTGGAAAATTCACAATTTAGGAAAGAAATGCATATTTAATAATATTTATCAGGGCATGGTGGAGCTGACAATAGTGCCAAATAATGACTGCTTGCGTATAATTCGCCTCAATGCGAAACAATTGAATATTGAGCGAGTTTTCCTCAACGATGTTTGCCAAGCGGAATTCATCTATTTTGATTCCTTTCACAATGTGTGCGAGATGGAAAATCGCTCGTTGGAAACCTATGCGAAGAAACATTTAATGGCCGCCAAGATAACCGATCCCGATCTCAATAATGGTGAACTGTTCATTAAAGTGCCGCCAGCTGGTTATGCAATGATTCAAGCAGGTCTCACTTTGCGCATACGCATCCAATTCAATTTTTCTAATCCAAAGAGTGGCATGCACTTCGTTTTGAGACCACCATCAGCCTCATCCTCATCAGCCTGGAAATGGGCACACATGTACACCAATTGCTATGAGAACTCATCGCGTTTGTGGTTCCCCTGCGTCGATAGCTACGCAGCTCCGTGCACCTGGCAACTGGAATTCACCGTGGACAAACATTTTACGGCTGTCTCGTGTGGGGAACTTGTCCAAGTCATCAGCTCATCCGATTTGAGCAAGAAGACCTTTTACTATAAACTCCGAACGCCGGTGAGTGCACCAAATATTGCACTCGCCGTGGGTCCCTTTGAGATCTATGCAGATCCGCAGATAACGCACGAAGTGACCCATTTTTGTTTGCCGGGCATGTTGCCCTGGTTAAAGCATACGGTTCAATATCTGCATGGTGCCTTTGAGTTTTTTGAGGAGACGCTTGCGACCCGTTATCCTTTCGCCAGCTATAAGCAGGTCTTTGTCGACGAACTGGACAGGAAGATTAGCGCTTATGCTTCCATGACTATAGCCTCGGTTAATCTGTTGCACTCGAAGGAGATCATTGATCAGACTTATAGCTCACGCACCAAGATGGCTCGTGCTGTGGCAGAGCAGTTTTATGGCTGTTTCATCTGCCCACATCGCTGGTCGGATACGTGGCTGGCCAAGGGCGTAGCCACTTATCTATGTGGCCTCCATTCGCGGCAATGTTTTGGCAATAATCCGTATCGGGAATGGGTACAGTTAGAGTTGTCCCAAGTCGTTAAATATGAAGAACGCTATGGCGGCGTTATACTCGATTGTAGTCAGCCTGTGGCGGCAGCAGCGGTTCCCAAGTTTAGCCATGATCATCATCAACATCATTTTCCCAAAGAGAGTTCGCACACGGTCTCCCCCAAATATGTGAAGGCACTGCGCCGTAAATCCCATTTGGTCATAAGGATGCTGGAGCATCGCATTGGTCAACAGATGCTATTTCGGGTGTTTAACAAACAATTGGCGCTGGCTACAAATGCGGCGGGCACGAAAATTGAGGCTGGTTTGTGGTCCCAGTTGCTCATCTCGACGAACAGTTTCATCAAGTCCATTTTTACGGTCACCGGCAGCGATATGTCCCTGTGTATGGATCAGTGGGTGCGCACTGGGGGACATGTCAAGTTCTCGGTCATTTCCGTTTTCAATTGCAAGCGGAATACCATCGAGCTGGATATTCGTCAGGATTACATTGGGAAACGGGGCGTTAGGCAGTATAATGGTCCATTGATGGTGCAGCTGCAGGAGTTGGATGGCACTTTTAAGCATACGTTGCAGATTGAGGATACGCTGACCAGGTCGGTCATCTCGTGCCACTCAAAAAGCAGGCGTAACAAGAAGAAAAAGATTCCACTGTGGACGGGAGAGGAGATCGACATGGATCTATCGGCCATGGAGTAGGTTTACTTATGAAATTGATAAAATTGATAGAAGTGTATTCTATTCCTTTTTACTTTTTAGTGACTCACCTGTGCTATGGGTACGCATCGATCCGGAGATGATTCTGTTGCGAGACCTGATTGTTGAGCAGCCGGACTTCCAGTGGCAATATCAATTGCGCCACGAGCGCGATGTCACCGCCCAATTTCAGGCAATCCGAGCGCTGGAAAGGTATGCGACGAGTGCAACACGATCCGCACTGGAGGACACCATTGAGAATGAGTGTTGTTTCTATCGGGTGCGCTGCGAGGCGGCCCATTGCCTCACCAAGGTGGCCAATCAAATGGTGGACTCGTGGAGCGGACCACCACCCATGCTGGACATCTTTATCAAGATGTTTGGTTCACTACAGGCGCCGCACATTGTACGGCTCAATGATTTTTCCAACTTTCAATTGTATTACCTGCAAAAGGCGATACCCGTGGCGATGGCTGGACTGCGAACCCTCCATGGCATTTGTCCGCCGGATGTGGTCCGTTTCCTACTTGATCTGATCAAATACAATGAGAACTCGCAGAATCCGTACTCGGATTCGTATTATAGGGCGGCATTAGTCACAGCTCTGGGCGACACCCTCTCGCCGGGTTATCAATCGCTGACCACGGACAGCAGCAGCTCCATCTCCACAGATCCCAAACTAGTGCTGTCCGCCGTAACCCGTTTCCTGCGTGGTGAACATCATCTACCCTCCTATAAGTACATGGTTTTGGTGGCCTGCTTGAAGGTCATCAGGCGTCTACAGAAATTGGGACATCTTCCCTCGCTGCCGCACATATTTCGCAGTTATTCGCAGTATAGAAGCTATTTGGATTTGCGTCTGTCGGCCATGGAATGTCTGGTGGACTTGGTGCAGGTCCATGAGAGTGGCGAGGATTTGGAGCATTTGATGCATCTGCTCGAAACCGATCCAGATCCGGCGGCACGTTATGGTCTCGTCCAGTTGCTCATTGATAATCCACCTTTCACAAGAGATTCTTCCAATCGGTTGGATCAAGCCGAGCTCAGTGAACGCATCTGGAGGAACATGAATAGCCTGTCCAGGAACACGAAACTCCGTTGCTACATGGTGGATCTCTATTATGAACTGTATGTCAATGAGCGTCCAAATTTTTGGTTCCCGAATATGAATCACATTATGGAAGACAGCAGTAATTCGAATAGCGAAAATGAATTTGTGGAGAATGGAACCAAGATATGCGGGAATCCCCGCACTTCCATATTTGAAGTGAGCGACAATCAATTAATGAAAATGGAGGAGGAAAATCAGCAAGAGGAGTTCCAGAAAACGATTAAATTCGCTGAGATTGATTCAATGAAGTGGGTTCCCAGTGATAATCAGGCCATGGATCTGCAAGAGAAGGAGAAGATCGCAGAGACTGAAGAGCAAGGATACGATTATGAGACCGAAGTGGATGAGAATTCTTTCCCAATTTCTGATAATTATCACAAATATGATGAGACCTATGAGGTAGCCAAGAAAAAGGACTGGACAAAGCATAAGCATCAAATTGACAGTTACAATCATAAGAATCACAAGTACAAGGAGGACAAGGAGAGACAACAAAGCTATCCACCATTTTTACGTCTGTAGGCAGTCGAGAGCAGAGACGCAACAGCATCAAAGTCACAAGAGGAATAAGGACGAAGATCACAATTGCAAGGCTCGAGTGGTTACCAATTCTTACCTATGTAATCAAAGAAGACAGTAGATTATCTTGCCTAGATTTTGAAGTCTTATCGGTAGTCTCCTTATTTCAAATCTAAATGCATAAAGTTCTGAAAGAAAAATCAGATTAAATTATTTTAATCGTCAAAAAAAGGTGAATTCATAAAAGCTGTAGAGGGGAAAAATTAATAAATTAATTTTTGGAACTCAGCAGCCCTTTTTTATTTTTAAGGTCCATATACGAAATTTATTGTAATTTTGAGAGCGATCTGCAAACGGTTTAATTTGATTTAAAGAAAGACCGCTGCTGGCTAACAGTTTTTGTGCTCATTTGGCACTGCTGATTAACATAATTTATCGATAAGTTCGTGTCGATCAAGTTGATTTGATATCTTTACCAGTTCAATGATCAATGAATATGCAAATTAGTTGTGCCACACCAAAACAATGATTAAATATAAACAAAACGTAGATAAATGCGAAAGCAATACATTCAAAAGCAAAATGTTAACGCGTGCTCATCTCTACGTCAAATGTTTGCCCTATGTGCTCTTATCAGTACCGAGCGTTGCCAACTGCATACAAATACGCACAATTGGCAACGCGCTTCTATGTGTATTTGCACAATCAAAGTGAAGCAGCAGCAACAAATAAACACAAGCAAACAGCAGGAAATTAAATTAAAAACAATGTGTTAAGCGAGCGTGTTTACTGAAAGTGTTATTAAATTTGGTGGTGGTACGATGCAGAGCGAGAGCACAACACCAGAGACAGCAAGGGCAACAAACGAAGCAAAATGCAGCAGTGACAAAGAAACTGAGGACGCGTCTGCTGCTGCTGCGGCTGCTGCAGCCACACCACAGGCAACAACTGAACACCCACACACACAACCACAGGCACAAGCACACACACAGGCACACCCACACAAGCACAATATACACCTTGGACTGAGCACAAATGTGGCCCTGTCGCGTCTGCACGAGGAGATTGAGAATGTGCTGCTGGAGCAGGAGCGGGAGCATGCGGCGGAGAGGTAAGACATATGGTGGGCGTGGGTCGTGACACGAAAGGAGGCAAATTTTTGAATTCGTCCCTAAATCGGAATGAAATAAACAATATTAAGTTTTAATTGATGAATGAGAATATATAAATTATGAATGATAAATTATAAATAATAAATAACAACAAAGTAGTAACTAATAAATAAAATATAATTAATACATAGCATAAATAACAAACAAATAAAAACTAGCAAATAACAATTAATAAATAGTAAATATTAAATGAAAATAATAAATACTAAATAATAAATATCAAATAACAAATAATAAATAACAAATACCATAAATAATAGTAAACAATAAATAGTAAATTCTCTTATTATTACTAATTCATTAGGTGCCTTTGTAAGTTGCGTGCCGCCTTCATGAACCGCTACGATAGTCCACTCGGCTGGGTGTCGATTTGCACAACGCTGTTGACCAGTGGAGCACTGCTAACCACCGGGATGTACTGGCCAGCAATCTGTTTGCTTGTCATTCTCATCCTGGATCTGTGTGTCGTCATCCGAGAGAGTAATTTGCGTCGCACGGAAATCTATCGCAAGACGCGGCATGCGTTGACTGAGATTCGATTGGCTGAACAACATCTCAGCGACAATTGGCATGCCTCGAATTATCCACATCTGAGTAATCCAATGTCGCCTTGCGTCTCACTGCAGTGGACATATCGCGATGGACACATTGTCAATTTACCATGGGCGCTGTTGGTGCGCGGCGATTGCATTGTTTTGCGGCCGGGTCATATATCTCCCGGGCCTTGCCACGAACTGCAATCGAAGCGCTTCTTCAATGCCAGCGAAATTTATGGCGCCTCTGCTGCCCAGCTCGGCGATCCACCCGTTAAGCCCATGGCTCGTGCTCCACTGCCCGATCTGGTGTGTTGTCTGGATCGCACGCCTTATTTGGATAATTTGCGTATATGCTTGAAGAATTCGCTGAAACGACCGCCAACCATTTACAATCAACAGCGCTATTTGGTGAGGCTTGTTTTGCATTTCAATTATTCCCATCTTTGACATATTTTTACCACCCACAGCTAGTGACGAAGTACATCCAGCAATGGGGCTTCATCAGCGCCCTAATCATCACTCTCTTTGCGGGTCTCTTGCGTCTTCATGGCTATGGTTTGGCCACCGATGAGAAGCACAATTGGCGTCATGTGTTGATTGGTTCCCCAGCAGCTGCAGTTATTCCATTGTTACCACTCATCTTTCCACTGCTGTGGATCTCCATGAATCTGTGGGGCGTGGCACGGTTGCAATGCTTCCTAAAGACACCGCAGGCCATACTCGAGAAGGGCATGAGTAAATCGTTTGAGGATTTGGATATCGATACACCTGGCTATAATTACGATAGTGTTTCGCTGCTGCGCTCCAATGTGCTGCGTATTTGGACGCAATTGTGGCAAGGTGACAGTGAACTGTTGCCACGCTCAGCGAATCTTGTCCAGGTGCTGGGCTCCATATCCGCTCTCTGCTGTGTGGACAAGAAGGGCATATTGTCGTGGCCAAATCCAACGGCAGAAAAGGTATTCTTCTTGCACAATTCGGATGAGGAGCCGCAGGATGATGCCAGCCAACTGTCCATGTCCACGCAAAGCGATAATGTCAACGATGTGGAGAACAAGGAACGTGGCATTGTCGCCGAAGTGCTCGATCTCACACACGATCAACACTGCCCCTTTCGACTGGAATTCGATGATCACGAGTGGAAGGCACACATCAAATCTCTGAAGCCTTTGGGTACGTTTTCTCTTTTTGCTTGTGTATTTCAAGCGAAAAGTAATATGCAGAAGCGAAGAACTAACTTGCAATGTAATCTCAATATCTATATTGATAGCGAAGCGGTAATCAAATTGATTAGTGCGTTATCAAAAAAATCAATACCGGTAAGAGCTGGCAAATCAACATTTGACCAGCCTGATATGGATGTCTAAAGCTAATGAGCTAGCCAGGAAATGCTAGACTGATATGTTCCTCCTCCCCTTGATCCAGCAAGCTAAATTATCAGAGAGCAAAACAGACGCATGTCAAACAGATGAATGCAAGCAGCTTGTCCGCAAGCACTCCAAATCTGGTCCAAAATAAGTACAAAACACAATAAAGATCTGTGCTACGCAGTTGTCCGCATCTTAACGAACCATTGGCTAGTCGGTTCTCTTGCCAATAGACTTCAAGACTCTCCTATAATGATTTATGCAGAAGCTGCAGCGAAAAGGAAACAGAAGAATCTGCTGAACACTTCTTTTGTTCCTGTAAGAGGTTAAGCACCACCAAGAGATTAAACAATTTGTCACACTAGGCAGAATTTTTATTTTTATCAAAATTAGTCCATTTAAACTTAGCAGTGAAATCTTTAGTGATAAATCCTGACAGCTGGACTCATTTTTGATACAGTTTCCCCTACTAGTGTCAAGAAATGAAAAAAAATCCCAATCATTGGTATCACAACTGGCCAAGTCTGACCTATGTTTTTAACAATAAATCGATAAATTGTTAATCCTTTGAATCTTTGCAGGTCTTGCGATTTTATTGAACACCTGTTCGCCGCTGACGCATGAGCATTATGCGCAGTTCTGTGGTCATGTGAGCGCCGTGGCGATGCTGGACAAAGATCTGGTGCCAGTGACAAACCGGTATGCGATGTTTGAGTCCAGTATGAAATGCCTATTGCATGGGTACGTAGTTCATTGCCATACTCATCCGATTAGCCAATATTGTTGCATTTTTAATCAAAAATATACTTATACTTTGAAACTCTGATATGTTTATCGATTATATACCAATCAATGATTTTTTCAAACCGCATATATATTTTACAAAATATATATATATATATTGCGCACAAACAATATGTGATGTCCATAAACTGAAATTCAGTTTTGATTTTTGATTTTTGTTAATTGCAAGACAAAACAAAACAAAACAAACACCCAAAAAAACACAACAATTGGACGACAAAAAACCCCCAAAATGTATAGAAACAAACATGCAATTGGTAAAGTTATACGACTCTTAATTAAATGTATCTATCATTTTCCACACATATTCAAAAACTATGCAAATAATTTGTCAGCTAAATTTTAAACATAACTTTATAATTCAATTGATTATTTGATTGCAGACAAATTATATTGATATGTAAACCCAAACTTATCCAATGTACAAATTTACTAAAAGCTCATTTTTTTCATTTCTCTAAATGGTCATAATATTTGTTTAGTTGCAATTTGCAATTTTAGTTTATTAATATATATGACATTTTTTAACATAATTTTTTATGCTTACCTCCTCCCCCGCCCCACATTTGTCTATAGTAAAGCGTATTGTTATTTTAAGTAAGAACAGCCAATTATTATGTTGCCCAGAATGCTTAAAAGTTTTATTGTCGATATCCATTTGTAAAGATTCACGAAATTCCGCTTGATTGCCTGCCGCCTGCATGCTCTCACGGGTCAACAACACCACCACCCACCCACCCACCACCACCCACATTCATCTAGCAACCCACAATTGCTGCCTTTCTAATTGGTTCTTCTTTTCTGCTATATAAACATATATGTTTGGCGATTTGTTAAATCAGACGCTGCCTGTGCGAGCTGGCCAAACAAATTGGATTCACCAATCATGCAACGGATCGCTTTGCGCTTGAGGGTCAACTGGCCAGTTACAGGCATTTGGTAAGTGATCACCAATATGTATGTGCTGCATGAAAATCATTAACCACTCCGCCTTTTACAGCAACCGGATGTGGTGCGCCGGGATATTCGCTTTGCGAGGCAATTGCAACTGTCTACAAAGGTGAAGGTGCCATTTCCGCACTCGCTGTCCGTGGTGATGCGTGAGAATCCTGGCGGATATTTGTCACTATTTACACAGGGCACCGCTGACATAATACTCGATTGCTGCGATGATTTCTGGGATGGCAAGGATTTGCGACCGTTGTCGCCGCAGGATCGCAAACGTGCCTTGGACTTTTATCAGCGCAGCGCTTTAACCTCGTATTGCACAGCGTTCGCGTATCGCCCGCTGCGTCATGGCATCCATGGAGCACTGAGTGGACCACTGCACGGCAATGGGCAGATTGCATACTTGGAACTGCCACCCGAGTCTAAGTTGCGTATGCAACATGTGGATAAATCCCATTGTGATTTCGAGGGCGGACATCACGTGAAATTGAGCCACAGCATTAGCACTGATTCGCTGCTGTTCTCGGAGAACAAGGACGAGGACTGCAACGATGTGGAGGGCTGCTTTGAGATGCAGTGCCATCAGGTCTTCATTGGCATGGTCACCATGCAGTATCAGGCACAAAACGATATTGTGCATCTCGTCGAGCGGTTGGAGCGCGCATGCATTCGTTTTGTGCACTTCAGCAAGGAGAATGAGTTGCGATCGCGTGTCTTCTCCGAGAAGATGGGCCTCGAGTCCGGCTGGAATTGTCACATTTCGCTGCTGAGCGAACCGGAGGAACGTGAAAAGTTGCCAGGTGCAGCCAGCAAGGCAAAGGAGACGACAGAGAATGTTGTCGCCTCCAAGTCATCAAAGAGTGCTGGTAAAATGCATGAGAATAATTCAACCACAACCACAACCATTGCAACCACCACAGCCACAACCACAACCACAAGCATAGCAACCACAACCAGCACCAACATCACAGATACCATTACCACTACCACCACCACGAACGTTGCTATTAATCCATCCAGTGAACAAGTCATGTTTGCATGCACTGATCTTGTAGGTGATGCCAGCGATGGTCCCAAATTGAGTTATTTGCTGAGTCCGCAGCCCACCAATTTGGAGTCCTCGAAAACACTCAGTTGCTCGGCGCCCGGTGCCATCTCCAATCCTGAGGAATGCGAGCAGGCTATTGCTCCAACGGATGAGGATGAATTGGAGCAGGGTGCCGAGAATGAGGCATTAAATTTTGAAAATGAACCCAATCCCGAACGACACAATCAGCGTCATTCTCTCGACTCGGCCATGGACGAGAATTGTCGATCGTTGAGCACGTTGACGGAGAGCACGGATCAGAGTGCACCCATCAATTTCGATATGTCCAATCGTGCGAAGCTGCCGCGAGGAATTGAGAATATACGTCCGCATCTGGAGCAGGTGGACAATGTCCCATTGCAAGTGTCGCTCTTCACAGACTGCTCGGCGGAGGCAACCCGTCAAATGCTCGACATTATGCAATCCTACGGAGAGATTGTCGTCTGCTTGGGCAGCTCGGCGAGCAATGATAATGCCAACATATTTCTGCAAGCAGATTGCAGCATTGCTGTGGAACCGTTGTATCCGCAGGTCTGCCAGGATGTCGATGCCTACACGGAGGCCAATATCCAGCACAACAAGCTCCACTATCAGCAGCGAAGTAAATCCACAACGGACGAACCCGAGCCGTTTGCCAGCGAACAGTTGCTCGAGTCGGGCGGCGCTGCTCGAGCCATGCAATCGCCGGCGTACACCGTGTCACCCATCTATTTGAGTCGGTTGCTCAACTCACTGCCCTGCTCGATAGCCATTTGTCGCGACGACCCCTTGTCACTGGTGGCCATCATTGAGCTGTCACGTCGCTTCTCGCTGGGCCTCTGGAATTCCATACAGTTCTGGGCATGCTGTGCCGGTTCCATATCCATTTTGAATGTGCTCTGTGCGTGTTTGTCGTTGCCGCCATTGCTAACTCCACTGCTGGGCATATATTTGATGTGTGTGCCGGTGCCGTTGATTGCCATCTCGCTCGCCCACATCGATCTCGATCCAAAGATCATGAATCGTGCCACCAGCAAAAAGCAAACCGAATACGATTCGCGTGCCTTTGCCTTTGTCATGTGGTGCTATGGCTGCAAATTCCTTGTGCCCGTTGTTGCCGTGGTAAGTGTTTTGGGAATTGTATTTAAATTTATTATTATAATAATGATTGCTCCTTTGCAGCTCGTTGCCTACTGGATGTGCATGACGCAGTCGTTGTCCAGTCACGTGGACAAAGTCAACAGCTCTGCTGAATTGGAACTGGACGTGGAGGATTCGGATAGTGATGCGGACTTTTATCAGTGTCTGCATATAGCGCGCAGTTGTGCTTTGTTTGCTGTACTCTTACATTTCGGTAATGAGATTCTTATTATTTAGTATATATTTTATTATTATTATTAAGTTGCCATATGCAATCTATCTCTTTAACAGTGCTCGTCTCGATATCGTTTGTGCATCGGGATCATGCGCTCTGGCAGCGCAATCCATTTAGGAATCGCATTTGGGCGACGACCTGCTTGGCGCTGCTGCTGCTCCACGGCTTCATCTGCAGCCTCCAAATGCTGTTGGATGAATCACTAGCGGAGCTCTTGCCACAGCTCTGGCTGCCCATACTCGTGCTCTTTGGCAGCAGCTTGCTTAGCCTGCTGATCAGCGAGCTGGCTAAGCTACAGGAGAACAAGTATAAATATTTATTTTTATATATATCTTAATAGTAATTTTAATTGTTATTTTGCAGAGTTAATGCGCGTTATCAGCGAAGGGCGCGCCTCGATTTTGGCACCAAGCTGGGAATGAATTCGCCGTTCTAAGAATTAACTCTTTTTTACCACCGATTAACGCCGAGTACCAAATGAAAAAAATTACGCCAGCCAAAGTGCCAAGGCTCTGTGTACATATTTATTCTATAAATTCCCTTTACTTTTATTTATTATTATTATTTGTATTGCAAAGCAAAAGCAACAACTGCTTGATAATTTAATTCTATGATTTTGTCTTTGTGAATATTTTACTAATCTATTATTATTATTTAACATATGCAACATATTTAACATTTTCAAATGATTGCTAGTTTGTAAAATGTTCGATTTTATTGTTCCTTGTTTCAATGACAAATCATTTATGTACTAACACTAAAAAGACTTGCAATTATTATATGAAATATACGTATTACTGGTAAATAAAAGCCAAAATGAAGACAACTAACTTCTAACTTGTAAACTACTAAAAGTTCGGAACAGAAACCAGTTATCTCTCCATTCTTCTTCTATGTATCTGAGTACTATTTACGTTTAGCCAATATTTTGAATGTTGTAAATGATCTGTATCAATAATGCATGGCACGCTTGACTGGGTGTTAATGGACTCTGGCACGCAATACTCAGCGATCATCTTGATCATTCTTTCTGACCCACATCCATGCATTTAACGCATCACAATTAATCGCATGGCTTTAATTTTATTTTTGACAAGATAACTGTTTATTTTGTCTGATTGGAGTGGTATTTTTATAAGTCTGTGGGTTCCCATCTCCATTGATGTTTTATTAAGTTGATCCGCGCGATTCACAGACAGCGTGTCCTTTGAAAATCAGCAAGGATTTGGCCGAGTTGGAGCAATTTTTGTAAGCAGGTTTAAGGAGTGAAGTGAAAGTTTTACAAGAGTTTGGTCTCTGATGACCTTGAATACACCATGTTCTTTGAAAATATGTAATGATTTGGCCGACATAGTTATTTTTGTAAGGAGTTTTAATAGCCATAAGCCATAACTCATATTCCTAAAGGCATACAGAAGCGTTTTCATTGGACGCTTCTCCAATGCAGCTGCCAGTAAAATTGAAATGCCTAAAAGTATGCTTCATTTCTTTTATTTGTGGAGTTGACATTTGAATTTGAAATATATATTCACCCTTAAACCAGTAAAGCCAACTTATATTTTAAAGCAAACTTTTTGTTTTTTTTATTACGTGCAACAATGTCGTTGTTAAAATACATAACAATTATGTAGACAACTTTGTAACTATTGTAAGCATAGATAGTGCCGTCAATTATTGCTTTCTAATTCATTGCGAAAATTGCAGGCACACGATTTGGCTTCAAGCATGGCTCACATGAAGGAGGCCGAAGAAACACATAGGTTTTTTTTTTTAATGCCACAACATGAACGATAAAGAACCTAACGGCAGATCCAACTGGCTAACAAATATGTGGAGTAAGAATTAATTAGCACCTGTGCAGCGACAAACAGCTAAATGAAAGTGCTGCCCATGGAACGAACCTCGCGGGCCTAAGCATCTGTGCATGATATTTATGTAGTATATATCGTTTATATGGATCACTTCTAGTAGCACCTTAAGTGGGTCATGAAAAAATGAAATCAAATACCCGCCATGCACGATATTTCGACAAAACCAAGCCGAAGAATGCGATGAATAAAACCATTCCAACAACTGTTTTTCACTCGATTCGAGAATTTCGCGCGGCGCATTGCAGACGCTGAGTTACGGAGCTCCAAAAAGCGGAAATGACGAGTGCGGAAATAAAAAAAATAAAATAATAAAAAAATATATATATATACATACATACATATACATATATATACATATATATATAAACAGTGTCCTGTGGTTAATACATAAATATATACATACACAAGATATATATAATGAAAGAGGCCGGCGCAAAGTGTGCGCTGCTTTTGGGCCTAATCCTGCTGCTTGCCACGATCCTTGGCATTGACGGCTATTCACAGGTTGTGGTCAGTGGCAGCACTGATGGTTCAGATCAAGGACCGCGCATCTATAAAGCGCTCAACACGGATTTGATATTTCCCAAAATGTGAGTTGACTAACAAGTGCTAACTCAGACAAGAATAATCGCCCTACATTTTAGTAAATCAACATTAAAAAAGAAAGCTTTCTATTTCTTAGAATTTAATAAGGCTTGCCCTTAAGCGACAATTCAATCAAATATGACGCTTGTGTTTTTTAGTAATGTTTTTTATTATTAAGAAAAACATTTTTAAAAAGTAGCAATGCTATACAACATTCTTGAAAAGAAATCCTTATTAAAATGTAGAAACAAGTTATGAAATGAGTTTAGTTGTCCATCAATTTCGAAATTAACAAAACCAAATACAAGCTGACAAACGCTAGTTTTTGGAAAGCGACATCCATAAATTTTTGATAAATTTACTTTCTGAATAATTGGCGCCAAAAGTATGGCGATTTATTATAATTTAGGGTGATTTTTTTGCGGAATAAAGGGGAACCAGATATCATATAGCTCACTAATCCCCTACAGTTTCAACTCAACCGATAATGTGGTATCCACAACAACGACAACGACGACTGCGTTACCTCCGCCCATACCCTATAATCATCAGCAGGAGCAGGAACCCTTCGTATTTGTAACGCCATCGCATCAACAGCAACAGGAGCAGAATCAGGAGCAGGAACAGGAACAGGAGGAAGCTTCGAGCGAGGAGCCACCAGTTGGCTTGGCTGAAGCCACCGCCACTGGACGTGCCGTCGACTATCGCACCAAATATCCCTTTGGCCAGCTCATAACGCCACTGGTGAAGACGGGACGACCACAGCAGTTCAAGCCTAAGTCGCGTCCCGGCCAGCAACGCAATCGGCCCAAGGGCAGCCGCTACCAGACGCCCAAACAAGGCTATCGACGGGGTTAGTTTAAAGATGGCTTCCTTTTTGTTATACTCTATTTTAAATTCCCTTCCACTCCCAGGTTCAATTGCGGATCGTTTTGCGCCTGGACAAGCAGTCGCCGCGTCCCTATTTAAGAGTCATCATGACCACAGCTTCGATGGCAAACTGGCAGCTGGCTCCGATGCGGTGCCCTCGTATGTCCCACCCAAGAATATCTATTCCTTTCCGCCACTCAACACCAACTATCCATCACCATCGGATGATGCCAAGACGGGTCAATCTTCGGATGCGGTTACAAGTTATTTGCCACCCGCATCGGGTGGTGGTTATGTCTATCCTGGTCCTGCCGTTGACTCCTCGGGCTATCTGTATCCCAAGCCAAGTGATGGGGATAAGGCTAAAGCTGCCAGCACAATGAGTACGATGTCCGCCGTTCCACCGGATGATGATCCGGGCAATGATGATACGATTGGCGTCCTGCCTGCGAGTGCACAGGACAATTTACCACCGACTAACAATCAGGCGGGCCAGGATGCGGGTGGTGCTGGCGGCGATGCCGGCTCTTCGGATGATGGCCCTCCCGATGGGGGCGATGATGCCAAACCTGCTGGCGATGATGGACCACTGCCCGCCTTGGATAATAGTGGAGGTCAGCAGGCGAGCGATGACAATAAATACGATCCTCAAATGGAGTATGCAACACCTCCTCCAGGCTGGCTCGAAGCGCACCCGGATTCAGCAGCACCAAAGCCAGCTGATCACGATCATGTTCACGATCACGATCATGTTCCCGATCACGATCACGATCATGATCACGATTATCCGGAGCATCCACATCCCGCACCACACTTTGAGCACGACGATCACCATCACGATCATTATCCCGATCATTATTCGGACTCTTTTCCCACTTATCCCCACTTTCCAGAAGTCTCGTATCCCGAACTAATCTACGATGATCATCATCCGCATCATTATCATCATCCACCACCACCGCCGCCACCAACAACGACGCCGCCACCACCACCTCCGCCACCGCCACCACCACCACCAGAGCCTCGTGTAAAGAAGTACAGTTATTTCTATATTGGTCGCAAACTCTGGTATATCCCATTATACTTTACCGTGTGGTTCAATTTCTATATTTTGTGGCTCATCATCAAGTCGATTGGACGACATAAGGTCAACTTGCCAAATCATTATGTGACACGGCGCAGTTTGCCCGACTATTCGCAGCAGAGTCGGGATGAGTATATAAATGAGATGACTGTCAAGGTGCTGGAACAAATAGATAACTTTAAGCTTAAGTATTTGAACTGACTAACGACACCAACAACCAACTCTAGTTACGGCTAATAAAACACGTAATTTTTAAACACGTCTCGTTGGGTTTCCATTTGAATTTAAAAACTTTTGGCGCGCAATAATAATAAGTTGGCAACGCTTCACTGCTGAAATGCAACTATCGATAACAGCGCCGATTACAGCTTTGCTCAGCGCACGGTCACACTTATTGCTAATCAGCCACATTCACTTGGAATTTGTTTACATTTTATTCTTTCCGCTGTAAAATATAAATAAAAACAATTTGTAAAGATGTCGTATATGCTACCGCATTTACACAATGGCTGGCAAGTGGACCAGGCCATACTCTCCGAGGAGGATCGCGTGGTTGTAAGTAAACAAATAAATAATAATTATAAACGTATACAAAACAAACCAGATGCGGAGTCTCAATAAATAGAAATGCTTTATTTTAGGTCATTCGTTTCGGGCACGATTGGGATCCGGCGTGCATGAAAATGGATGAGGTGATGTACAGCATTGCGGAGAAGGTGAAAAACTTTGCCGTCATCTATTTGGTGGACATCACGGAAGTGCCGGATTTTAATAAAATGTACGAATTATACGATCCCTGCACCGTTATGTTCTTTTTCCGCAATAAACACATCATGATTGATTTGGGCACCGGCAACAATAATAAAATCAATTGGCCGCTGGAGGACAAACAGGAAATGATTGATATTGTGGAGACGGTTTATCGTGGCGCACGCAAAGGTCGTGGTTTAGTCGTTTCACCCAAGGATTACTCGACCAAATATAGATACTAAGTCGTAGTTTGTTTAGCAATAATAATAACCAACTACAAAATGCAAACATCTTTGTCTTGGCAACTTTTGTGTATATTTTTTTCATTTGGTTTATTTGTTTTTTCTTTCGTTTTTTTGTCACATTTCTCAATAATATCGCTAACATTTACATCAATTTGGTTTTTTTGTTTTTTCTCTTTTTTTCCTTTTATATATGTATAACATTTAACTAAGTTTTTTTTTTAATAGCTCTTTGGCTTCATAACTTCATATTTAATAGTATATTTTTTTCAATTGCTTTCATTGCTTTTCATGCGTTTCATCATCAGTTTTACCAAATTGTGATTTTTAAATTTAGCTAAAGGTACATATGGAAATTAGAAGTTTGGAAGTTTTGTGAAATACTTATAGGAAAATTGTATTAGTACAAAAGTATAAAAGAAAACGGCACAACAAAAGAGTATTCAGAGTATTTCGAATAAAATAAACCACTTTGTAAAGTATTACTAGAGTTCTCCCCATGAATTGTTGAACCATTTTTTTCCAATACATTTTTCATTTAATTATTATTGTTCATTTAATACAACAGCTCGGTTTTTTTTTTTATTTTGGGTCTTAACTCTGTTATAAGCTTAGGTTTAATAATTGGTTCTTCTACGTTTTTTTTCTTTTTCGACTTATACAACTTAGGTTTGCTTATTATTTTTCTTGCTTTTAAATATATATATTTATATATATATATATATATATATATATATATATATATATATATATGTATATATATATATATTTATTTGCTTATTTGAAACAAATTTAACGCTACTATGTTTTTTTTTATTTTTTATATTTTTTCATTGACTTTTGTTTTTTTTTTATACTTCAGCATATAACCAACAATTAAATATTTATTTGTAAGTATATGTTTTTGTTGATTTTTGTTTTTAATTTTGATATACCATTTCCTAGGCGCCTGTTGAGTTGTTCTTTTTGTTTTCTCTTTTTTTGCATCGTATAAAATACTTATTAGTATTCAAAAATATTTAAATAGGGCTTGATTTACACTTATGCAATAGGATAGGTACAAATTAGGCTCAGGCATGTGAGAAAGTCTCTAATAGGTCTTCGTTGAATTCTCCTCTCCCCACAAACGACAAAATGCAGCTCTAGTTTTAATTTTCATTATTACATATTATATATACTTTTGGTTTTGTGTGTTTTCTCTATAATTATTTCTGTATTTTGATTTCAAATTTTGTGTGGTTTTGAAAAATACAAGTTTATCATTAATAATACCTTTATTAATTTTCATTAATTTGCTATAACTTTTTCTCACTTGTGGAGCAAATGCATTTTCATAGAAAAATAGAGATGCGTAGGTGGGATGAGTTAGGAAATTGTTCATACTATTTAAACATATGCTCAAGTAACGCTATATTTACTCTTTTTCTTCTTTAAATATATATATCTATATATTTTCCTTTGACAACAACTAGTTTTTATTATAGTATGTTGTTTTTTTTTTTACTTTATTTTCAACAATTTGCATGCGAATGACCTTTTCTGAATTTGTCTCAATTTCGATAGAAGAAAAGTGGTTCCAAGAATTGTTTGTTGAGAAAAGTCAAATATCAAGTTTCTAGATGGCAAGGAAAGAAATAAAGAGTCTATAAAATTAGAAAGTAGGCAACTGCAATAGTTCGTCTAACGCTTATCCGAGGTCTTTAAGTTCTCATCTATTTGTATATATATATATATATATATATATATATATATATATATTTTGTTGTAGGCTTCTGTTTCTGTCAGTGTACATCAGTTGTAAAGTATTTTTCAGTTGTGTGCAATCTATATAAAATTCTAATTTACAATACTTGAAGTATTCATTTTGTTGTTGTGTGTTTGTTGTTTGTTGTTTGTTTGCTGAGCTGCTGTTTAAGACACTAGTTGAAGAATGATTGAAATAATGATTGAGGGAGACTGATATCGGCTGCTTGCTGGCTGCTGGCATTCTAAGAGTACTATATAGAATTATATATATATATCTCACATATACATATATATATAGGTAAATGTATAAACATTTGCTCAATGTTGTGTATATAAATGTACACTTGTCGCATTTTGACATGTTTATATTTAATAGATATAGTGTGAAAAATAAATCCGAATATCACTACTTAACTTTTAGAGTTCTATTAACAATTAATAGACAACAGTCTCTAAGTACGAATACGTTGTTGTTCTAATCTCTTCTTACTTTCTTACAACTGTTTTTCTTCTTCTTAGCGGTTTTCCTTATTTTTCTTGTGTCAAATAATTCTTTTTTTATGCTTTATTTCCACTACAATCAATTTAAATATCCTTCTTGCGAATGTAAATTTTCATTTATTGACATGTCAATGGCAAATAGAAAATACAACAGTTGGAAGACCAAAAATAACAGTGTATTTTCTACAAAAAAAAAACAATCAATAATTTCTTTTATTTGTTTGCTCAACTTAATTCTTATATTGCAGTGGAAATAGCGCATTTTAACAAACACATTTTGTTGTCAAAGTTACACTTTTTTTTCTAGCAGTGTTTCTTATTCCGTTTTTTGTTTTGTTTTTTTTTCTGTGGACTAGCCTAAAAAGTCAGTTGTTAAGCTCTTGAATGGAACAGCCGCGGCAACAAACTGGGCTAGAATAGCGTCTCCTTCGACCACTTTCTGGCCGAGCCGGGCAGGCTGGGATCACGCGACCGGGAATCATCGCTTTTTGCATCTGGATCCGGATCCGGAACGTCCTCCTCCTCCACCACATTCGCAGCCCCAACGGCAATCGCTGCATCCTCCTCATCCTCATCTGTGGGCAGTCGGATTAGTGGCAATTCCAGGATAACAGCTGGCGTCGCTGTCATCGCTGTCATCTCGCCACTGTGCAAGCTGAGATTGTGGGCACTTTTGCTGGCGCCGCGCAAGATGAGCTCCTTGAGCGAGTTGGGCATGCAAATGGTTGGCGGCCGCGCTATCACCGAGTCCGATATGGAGGTGGGGCACGGATCGTGGCCCAGTCTACTGCTACCACTACAGCTACTACAATTGGATGGCAGTTGTGCGACGGGTATTGGAATTGGAGCTGCTCCACGACTTGGACTTGGCGTGGACAGTGCACCCACACTGATGACCGTATTGAGGCTGCTGTATTGTGTAGATTCCCCGCCAGCTGAGGGAGCCACCTCGAGCAGGCCCAGCTCCGTGTTGAGCGTGGAACAGGTGTCCTCCTCGGTTGTTGTGGTCGTCGTTGTCGTTGTTGTCGTCGTCGTTGTCGTTTGCGGATCACTGTGCTGCTGCAACAGTTGCCCGCGACGCTGTGGCGGACTGCTAATCACTGCACCGAAATGTGTCTCCAGCGGCGGAGGAGGAGGCAGAGCAGCCGTTGGCGCAGCTGTAGGAGTAGCTGGTGTATTGCGGCTGCAGCTGCCGCCAATGGTGCGATGTCGTTGCAGCAGCGGACGTCGAGGTCGTGCACCCATCAAGCCAACGGCGACGGCGGCGGGCACAGCGCCCAAGCTCAAACGCTTGCCGGGCAGCTGATGGGCATCTGTTGTGGGCAACGTTGCCGGCACAATTTGCTCCTCGCTATCGCTGCTCAGCTGCTGCATATCATCATCGGTGTCCTCCGCCAGGCCAAACACCGAATCCTCATCGAGCGAGCGCAATTCCGAGTCGCCGCATTCCAGAGAGGATATCTTAAAGGAACTTAACGAGGCGAGCGGCGCCCGTTTGCCATCCTGGAGCAGCGCCTGCTGCAGCACCTTGCCCAAGCTGACACCACTGGCGCCGCTGCCATTCCGCTCCAGCCGATCCAAACTAACTGGCGTGCTGTCAACACTAATGCTGCTAGATGTGGCCGGAGCTGTGCCTGTGCCTGTGCCTGTGCCCGTTCCTGTTCCCGTTCCGGCTACTGCGCCTGTTCCCGTGCCGGCATTTGTTGTGTAGGGATAGCTGTTGTTGTTGCTCTCCACGCTGCGCTGCAGCTCGACCAGCGTCAGCTTGCGACGCACACCCAGACGCAGCTCCTCCGACGGCGATTCGCAGAAATGAAACGCTTGCTGCGCCGGGGTGATGGGCGGTGCCGATTGCACCGGTTTAACCACATCATCCACAAAATCCGATGACATCCGATGCGTCGTCTGATTGTACGGATAGACATCCACAGTATCGGCGCTGATCGAGTGTATCTGCTGCTTGCGTCCGGCATGGGCACTCTCCGGATCATAGGAGACAATGCTGTGCTTGCGCTTAAAACTGGGCGCACCCAATCCAGCCGGAGGCACTTCCCGTTTCTTCACACTCGGCGTTGGCATCGGTTCGTGTATGCTCCGCTCCGAGGGACAGGGAGATGCCTTTGGCGTCGGCTGTATCACCTGTATGTCCGGATAGTAGTAGTCCCAGTTCTCTATGCTCGATGTACGCGACGCAGTCGACAGCTTCCGTTGCAGCGTCGGCGGCAGATTGCTCATGCCCAGCGTGTAGGCAGAGGTCCGTCGCTCCAGATAGGAGCTATCAGTGCTGCAACAGGTCATCGCACTGCTCCGACGCGAATCGTGACCCTGTCGTGGTGGGTGGATGGAGAAGATGATTAGCATGGATTGGTTAAAATTGCTTATAAAAAGGGAAACCCGAAAAAGTATCTATTTTTATTTATATAGCCTTTCAATTGATATATAAAAAACGGGCTTTCCTTAAGACCAGATAAGATTCCGGTAAGTTAGATTAGGGGGAAACCGCCCTCCTCCAACCCACTCTCTGAAATCTTGCTTGTTCCATCCCGTGGTTTAGTTCACTGACAGCTCAGGGGACTGCTCCGACATCGCTTGAAGAGATCTGCAACAGTTTCTACAGTTTCTCAACTGAATAGCGACTTGGCTAGCTGAGAATATGCATATTGATTTCCTGACTTGCTGTGGTGTTAATATAGAATGTGCTATCCGAACAGACTTTAATTAAATTACTATCAGCAATTCTATGATATTTCTAATAGCTGCGAAAAGGGTATCTCTTAGTCGAGCTCTCTGTTTTAGCGTACTTTATCTTTTCTTCATTATGCTTTATAAACAGAAATTCTCATGAGTTATTTTAAAGCTCATCAGCATTTAAAATCCTTTAGATCCTCATCTCTCTCTCTCTCTTTCTCTCTTTCTGTCTTTCTCTCTGTCCCTCTTATTCTCGCCCTCTCCTCTTCTCCTCTTCTCTCTCTCTCTCTCTCTCTCTTTCTCTCTGTGCCTCATATTCTCGCCCTCTCTTCTTCTCCCTTACCCTCCCTCTCTCTCTCTCTCTCTCTTGACGCTCACTCACTCACCGCCATTGGGACGGACAGAAACCCCGGTTTGCTGCGCGTGGAATCTGTGCGCTGATGCAATTGGTCCTCCTCCTCCTCGTGATCCTGATCCTGATCGTGTGCGTCCCTCTGCATATACTCCTCGTGGTCCAGCTCATCCTCCGTTTCCATAAAGTAATCATCTGTGCCAAAGCTGCCACCCATCGGATAATTGCTGAAGATCCTTGACGATTCCGAGCCGCTCTTCCGTCTGCCGGGTGCACCAGGAGCACCGCTTCCAGCGGAGAGTGCCGAATACGAAAAGCGACGCGGTGGCTCCAGCAGATAGCTATAACCAGTCGCACCGGGCACACCAACACCAGCTGCAATTGAGAAATACAATTTAAATACGATTTTTTTCGAGTGTACCAGCAAAAAATCGAACTTTTTTCGAGTGTACCAGCAAAAAATCGAACTTTTTTCGAGTGTACCAGCAAAAAATCGAACTGAATCTAAGAAAATCGCTCTGAAAACTAGAAAGTTTGTCTTGGTTTTCGAAATAATTTCTAAAAAAAAAATAAAATAGATTTCTACATATTTCTTAATAATAGTGAATATTTCTTAAAAGTAGATATTCAATATGTTTTCTAGCAAAAACTGCTCTGAAATTCAGAAAATAGAAATGAAAACTAATATTGTTTCTCAATTTGAGAGTTAAGAAGAGAAAAGCTTGGTTTTCAGAGAGACACAAACTGTTCTTTTAGATAAATACTTTCTGAATATTTTTCTCAAAATGGAGTTCGATTTTTTTCCGAGTGTAGATTTGTTTAGACTCTGACTTACCCACAGAGGCACAGCGATAGCCGCGATTCAGCAACGGCGGCGCACTCACATTGCCCAGGGAGAGCATGCGCTGCCGTCGATAGACGAGTGCATCATACTCATCCGGATAGATGGACATGCCGGTGGCAACGATGGCCTCCTGCAACTCCCGCTCCTCCTCCTCCTGCATGCAGACGGCGGCGACGGCTGCCATTTTGGGATCTTTGAGCACCTTGAGGGTTTCATTGCTGCTGCTGCGACTCTTCCACACGATGAGGAAGACCATCAGGCCAAAGAAGCCGCCCAGAGTGGCCGCAATCCGTACGCCCGTCATCACGTCATAGGTGGCAAAGAACTCCTGGCGGATGCGGGCGCGTTCCGCTGCATTTTCCGCCTCGGTCAGATTACGTTCGCCGGGCGGCAACAGTGGCATGTAGGGCGTGGCCGTAACGGGGGCGGTGGTGCGGGCGTGGGCGTAAATCGCCGTTGGCGTTGTTGTCGAGGCAGTGTTGCTATTCGAGTAATTCGAGTGCGCCGACGATGACGATGATGATGCGGATGCCGATGCGGATGCGGATGCGGAAGCGGGTGCTGAGTATGATGTATCCTCGGAGGCAACATTTGCATTTGGATCGACAAAGGCAGCAAATTGAGTGTTGGAGGAGGAGTAAGAGGATGATAAGGATGAGGATGAGCCTGAGACTGAGGAGGATGCACGTGTAATGCGCTGCAGTTGTTGCTCTCCTCGAGCATGTTTAACAGTCGTTGTTCCAGTTGTGCTTGTTGCAGTTGCAGTTGCAGTTGCAGTTGCTGCTGTTCCTGTTCCTGTTCTTCCTGTGGTTGTTGCTGTTGCTGTTGTTGCTGTTGACGGCGTTGCTGCAGACGACGACGCACGTCGTGTAAGTTTGGCCATCTCTATTGCAACATTGTCTGCAAAAGAATAAATAATAAAATAAAAATTAAATATAGACAATTGTTTAAAATGAATTATGCCAATAAGAGTAAGTAAATCAATATCTATTTTATATAGAAAAAGTTTCTCTCTCTTTTAACCCTTTTGTTTACTCAACTTTTATTTAAATTAAGCCAACGAATATTCCAAATAATAGTAATAAATAATTAAAAGTTTGTTTACACAATTATTTCCATCCATAAATGAATCGAATTTTGCTATTAAACATTCTGAATTGTACTTTACTGTCTCTCTCTATTTTTTATTTATAATAACAATAAATAAAGAAATAAATAAATAATCAATTTACCCAAAACTTTTACCATTTACGAAGTAAATAATAAAAAATGTAAGTAGCTTGTTCAAATTAACAAGACTGTAATTTATTTTATAATGAATCTGCTAAAAAATGTATAAAAATTTCTTGAGCGCCTTTTGTGGCCACTTAAATTCCAAGAAAAGAAAGCCCTCGCAGCTGGAAAATTAGCCAACACCTTGGCGCACATAGATAGGAAAATGAAAAGCGACAGTTAAAATTTCTTCTGCAGCCATCTGCTGCCCCCGCCACCCATCCATCCATCCATCCCTGCCACTCTTCGCTGCCAGCAATTAAAAATCCATAAGCTTATCCACATTTTGTTGGGCGCATTCCTTAAAAAGCTTTCACAGAAGTTTTTAATTGTTTTCTTCATTTTTTTTGTAGCGTTTTTCATTACGCATTTCTTCACAGTCAGCAATTTTTAAGATTCCCTTTGGGGAAATAACTTGGCACATTTCTCAACGCGTTTTCCGCTTTGAAATGAGTAAATTAAAGTTACATATGTGTGCAGGTGTGTGTGTGTATATATATATATATATCTGTATATTTATATATAGATGTGTATTTGTGTAGGTGGCTGGCTCCATTACATCCTTGGATTTTCAACAAGTTGCACGCTCAATAATTCAGAAGGACGAATCGCTTGTTGCCTGTTGCCTGCCTCTCTGCCTGCCCCGCTGCTTGTCCCTCTGCCTGCTGGTTGTTTGTTGTTTTATCCTCCCCGCGCCGCCCGTTGGCTCATTGTCATTGGCAGCCAGTCGTTGAGCTGAATATAGCTGCCCCAATCACCACGCCCCCCTTTGTTTTTTCCTTGTTTTGCCGGGCATCTAATTGTTCGCTTTTGTATTGACAGTCGCGCAGTTGCGGAGCTCTGCTCGGCTGAATTTGCTATCCGAGCTCTCGTTTCTGATACCCTTGCAGCGCGCATTATAATTTACTTATGCAATTTGTAATGCATTGAAGCAGATATACCCGACATTAAATGGATATATTATATTGATCGCGATGAAACTTGAAATACACTAAATATATCTCAGAGTTGCTCTTACAACAAATATGCAAAGAAGAGTTCTTGAAAAGAGAAAACTTTTTCCTTTATCGATTCGTTATGCAGCGCAAACTTAAAAGATATGCTTCTTTTGAAGCTTCTCACAAAAAATCATCGATTTTTGACTATATATACTCAGAAAAAAGTATATTTCATGACTTGAAAATTATGGTTTGCATTTCTACTTCTTAAAAATGCATTTCTTAATGATACACAATATTTCTAAAAAAAATATAAAAGAAACACCATATTTTTGGGATTGTAGATTTATGGCAAGACTTTCTAATATCTAAAAATGTTTGTCCTATATTAAGAAAATATTCTAAAAAACCAAAATAAAAACATTCTAGTTTTGAGAGAGATTTTCTGAAATTTAGAACAATTCTTTCAGAGTGTGTCACATAGTTTTAATAAGTACAATCTATGGGGTTTTTTATAAATTATATTGAAATGTTAAATATAATAATATATAACAGATTTGTGTCCACTTTGAAAGGGAATTTAAGCTTCGACAAGCAGTTTTCTCTTTTCTTTCGCAGTAAATTTTCTCAGTTCGGTTTTGTGTAGTTATTCCATTTGCGTGCGAGTGTGTGTGCGTGTGTGTGTGTGTGTGTGTGTGTGTGTGTGCCGCACATCTCTGGTATTCTTTATTCCCGTCCTGTCCAAGGACGCGCTGCTGGCCATCAGTCGTTGCTTTCCAAATGATTATTGTAAAAGTTTTTGGTCTAATGTTCTCGTATTCATTTCTTTATGTGTTTTTTTCTTCACTTTTTCATGCTCTGCTTTTCGCAGCTTGTTTCCATTTTCCGATTGCCTGGACAGACAAAAATGAAAATGGAAAAAGAAGAAAAAAAGGAAAACTTTTAATGGCCATTATGCATTGGCCATAATTCGTATTCCTTTTCCCTGTGCAGAGCATAATGAGCCGCAAACGTTGAGCAAAATTGCACTCTAAGCACTTTCAAGTGATTTTTAATGACTTTTCAGCATTTTCGTTTTTTTTTCGTCTTTCCAGTTGCTGTTGGACTTTTTCATAGCTGTTTTTCTTAGCCCAAATGGGCAAATTTGTAAGCAAATAAATTGGCAATAAAATTAAATAAATTGCTTGCAAATCTGCTGGTAATGATAAGAAACATTTATAATAGCTCCCAACAGTTGTATAAAGAAATTCATAGAACTTAATTGCAAAAGGGTTTAAGAAATGAAAACTTTTCTTATGGCGAGCTGAAATTGAATAATTTAGAATATATAGGAGTGTATATTATAGAAAATTGTAGCTCCAAGATTAATTATATCTTTGCTTTTATTATCGATTTAAGTTAAGGCCACTTTCATTTCAAATAAAAGCAGAGAAATCTCTCAACACCCAACCACTGCTTTATTTAAACTTCCCCATTTCTTATAATATATTTCAATATATGTATTGCTCCTGCTGCTCCTGTGTAGTAAATGCAAACTCTGCTTAATATTGTCAATTACTCAAAGTCGGACAAAAACTCAACAATTAACTAAAAACCCTTTTTTTTTTGGGAATTCAGTTTACTGCTTTTAAAAAGTAGCAGCTTCCACTGGGCATTGCTCGAACGAATGAAATATATATAAAGATATATATATACACTATGTATATACATGCGTAAAAAAAAAACAACAAAAAAAATATATATATATATATATATTCCGCCACCCAGAAAAGTGTTGAAGTTACTTGTTTGAACGAATTGATGGATTACAAAGCTCTTGGGGATTTGCGCCAGTTACACAAAACTGATAATTGTGTTGTGTTGGGCAAACGAAAGAGAAAGATAGAACGAGAGAGAGAGAGGGAGAGAGAGGTTGAAACAGAGATGGACAATAGATAGAATAACATTAACATTAACGATGTCGGCGCATTGAAAGTGTATATCAAACAACATATCGATGTCAAGGCAAACTTGCTGAGCGGCAAATGGTCAGGTAGGCTAAATACAGAGCAACATGTTGTTGTTGTTGTTGCAGCATGATGAATGATTGCGGTTAGACAGCGGGGCAGTGGCAGTGGCAGAAACAGAGCCAAAGGCCGAGGCAAGAGGCACAAAACACGCTCTGCTGACAGGCGGCCTCAACTTGACTTGGCACTCGCTGCGTATGCGTAATATTTGTGTGTATGCGTAATACTTGTGTCTGTGTGTGTGTGTGTGTGTTTGTGTGCCGAAGGACTATGGCGGCATAATAATTTATCAATGTTAGCGTCATGTTTCTGCTGTCTGTGTTTGTATTTTGTGTTTTCGACTGCCATTTTTTTCACTGTGTGCAGTTTTTGCCTTTTGACGGCAACCGAAATGAAATTGACGGCAAATCAATTGAACGTAGTTGTGACTGTATATATATAGACATATATATATATATATATATATATATATATATATATATATATGCCTTATATCCTTATGTGGATATCATGAACAATGTGTTTGTTCGCTGTACGCTGCATATTTGCCACGTTCGGTTTGAGTTGGTGGCCCCCAAACAACAACAAAGAATTCATTCATGTGTATTGAGGCATTATACAAAGAAGTCGACATATGTAAGCCCTACACACACTCGAGTACATTTCAATAGCATTATATAGAAGAAAGAACGTAGAAAAAAGAACTAGTAATTTTCCCAATCACGGAAACTGTAACACAACATTTAAAGTCACAATTTAGGCATATTTCCTCATATATATACGTTTATCATGCTTTTGGTTTCTGTACACATTATTTGATAATAATGAACATAAAAAGATTTCGTTTGTTAACGCAACTATCTTCATTTAAAATAATAATTATTATTAACGCAATTATTATTACTATACACAAATATTATTGGCCTGAGTCCCCAATCTCCACAATCTCCTCGTATATCCTTTCAAACACACGGAAACATAGAACACACTTTAATTACACTCAGATGCAAGTTGCTCAATGTCTGCTGTTAATGTCTGGCTGTTTCTAATTAAATGCCCCGCACTGTAATCAAGTGGCATAACCAATGGCTACACTTAGTTGCCCTATAAGCGGCTTTAAAAAGCATTAAGCAGATGAAAATGAAAACTCAAATGGAAATGGAAATTCAAATGGAAATGAAGAACAT